CATGAAATTCAATGAAGGTTTGATAAAGTTATTGATGACTAAATACGTTTAACCGTAGACTGTATCTAATTGTTAATTGTAAAAAAAACTAAGGTCATTTATCAGTACCGGTAATACGGAAAAATGAAAATAAAATTTTTCAAAAGTTTGCTCTGGATACAGTCTTTTGGTCATAATAAAGTTTCTGTCCAAATTTCATTAAATTCCATAAAATTTTGACAAAGTTATTGATGTTTAAAAATCTTTAGGCTGAATTATAAATGTTAACAACGCCGACGCCACTGCCGCTGACAGAAACTATGATCACTTCATCTCGATAATTTGGGTACCCTCAAGTTACATGTATGGCTATTTTTTATTTCTCAGAACAGCAGTGAAATCCAAACAATATCAATTAAGTACATTTACAAACAGGAAGTTATTGTGTACTTGTAATTTGGATTTTTTTGGTGTTATTATTACTGATCTACTGATATTAAAGGGAAATAATTTATATTTGTCTATAATCTGTAGCATCTTTATGTTTTATCAAGTGTCAACTTCCATCATAAGGACATTTTATAAGTTATTTGGTCTAAACATTGTTTCCATGGTTACTAAACTAATATCATGTGTTCTGAAAAAAAACACTGAACTTTATTTGAGTAATTTTTTTAAAAATAATGGTTGAAAACATGATTTAAAGGGACATAATCAAAGTTGTATATCACATAAAAATTCAGCAGATTATATACAATGTGACTTTTTAAGTTCCCTTTAATAACAGCAGATCAATTCCTGTTAGAAAACAAAACAATTATAATCACGGAAATTCAATGGTAAAATAATTTTTATTACACTGTACTTGCTTCATACTAACAACCTTTGACTTAAGCAATGAGCTAAAATGTTTTATCAGTTAATCAGTTAGTACAGGGTGTGTACAAAAAATTTAGCAATTGGTATTGTGAAAAGCCTTTTGAATATGCACAGTAAATGTTATTGTTCTTTTACAAATAAAGGTTCTGTGACTTGATTATAAGTATTTCTCTCAACCTATTGCGGTTCATTTAAAATTCGGACCCATCAAATCATACTGTTCAACTGGTCAGAAGCTTTAACTAACTGCTGTAAAATCATCAAAATGCAAAAGAAACAAGAAGAGTGCACACGCTGAAATGTCTCGCCTGCTTTACTGACCATTGATTTTATGCTGATAGTCCTAAATATAAAGTTTTACTACAAGTATCACATAAAGTTAACATGATCAAAGAAAATGAGGTAAAGGTCAGATAAACCAAGCCAGAAATACATGTAACCCTTAAAATCATTCCATACACCAAATATAGTTGACCTATTGCTTATAGTATACAAGAAACAGATCAAACCATGAAAACTTTATATTGAGCAAAGAACCATGAAAATGAGGTCAAGGTCAGAGGAACCCTGCCAGACAGACATGTACACCTTACAATCATTATATGCTTTAAATATAGTTGACCTATTGCACATAATATCTAAGAAACAAACTTAACCAGGAAAACTTAACATTGATCAATGAACCATGAGGTCAAGGTCAGATGAACCCTGCCAGACAGACATGTACACCTTACAATCATTACATGCTTTAAATATAGTTGACCTATTGCATATAGTATCTAAGAAACAAACTTAACCAGGAAAACTTAACATTGAACAATGAACCATACACCTTACAATCATTCCATACACCAAATATAGTTGACCTATTGCTGATAGTTTAAGAAAAACAGACCAAATCACAAAAACTTGACATTGATCAATGAACCGTAAAAATGAGGTCAAGGTCAAATAAAACCTGCCAGACTGACATGTACATCATCATTTTCATACACCAAATATAGTTGACCTATTGCATACAGTATTAGAAAAACAGACCAAATCACAAAAACTTAACTTTAACCACTAAACCATGAAAATGAGGTCAAGGTCAGATGACATCTGCCAGTTGGACATGTACACCTTGCAATCATTCCATACACCAAATATAGCAGACCTATTGCTTATAGTATCTGAGATATGGACTTAACCACGAAAACTTAACCTTGTTCACTGATCCATGAAATGAGGTCGAGGTCAAGCGAAAACTGTCTGACAGGCATGAGGACCTTGCAAGGTACGCACATACCAAATATAGATATCATATTACTCATAATAAGAGAGAAATTAAGAATACTAAAAATCTTTACTTTTTTTTCAAGTAGTCACTAAACCATGAAAATGAGGTCAAGGACAATGGACATATGACAGACAGAAACTTCCTAACATAAGGCATCTATATACACAGTATGAAGGATCCAGGTCTTCTATCTTCTGAAATTTTAAGCTTTTAAGAAGTTTGTTAACGTTTGATCACTATCCCTATGTCTCCCTTTCTGGGACAGAAGTCGCAGGCTGGACAATAAAATAAAGAATACTTACGATCTTTTACGTCTTGATTTCCACATTATGGATTAGATAGTTAGCTGGGGTCATTTAACATCTAACACAACCACTTAATGCTGTAATGAGTCATTTGAAAGATGAGGAAGTAATTTTTGAATTGCTATAAAAATGTTAAAATTGAGTGTTCATGCTTTTCCTTTTAAAATGTATTCTATACTTTTAAGAATATATCATAATTTTGAATTTAAAACATGTTATATTCAGTCAAAAATAAGTGTTCAATAAGTTTCCATGGGGAGATAATCTAACATCATCTATCCCCCCTTTTTTTTATGAAATATTGATTGGACTTTCTTATCTCCCTTTAAATCTTCATGGAATCATATTTTAGCTACAAGTATATTTCATTGAGAAAATTAATGTAAAGACAGCTTTGTAACATGTAAATCATCATTTTAGAAGAGATAACTAAACATTTTAATTGGACTTCTTTTATAGCAATTCAAAAATTTCTACCTCACCTTTCAAATGACTCATTACAATAAATATATGTGAAGAAATTTTAAGGTTACACTTTCATTATCCCTTTGCACTTTGAAGACTTGACTGTGGTTCTGCTACAGCAGTTAGTTTAAATCAGTGACCATCTGAACAGCTTGATTTGATGGTATGAGTATGCAGTTAACTGGGACATTAAATCCAAGGAATGGTTTAGTAGAATGCAAAGCTTTTTGCTCATTAAACCCAACCATTAACTCTTGGAGGCATCTTCTAGCAACCTTGTTTATTTTCATGTCTGGTCCCATCCCCGCTTTTGCCTTCCACTGTTAACTAAATAATTTGCCCAATCTCCAAATCCATTAAATGTTCATATTGTACATATTGATATATTGTGAACTTGTTCTTGTCCAGTATATGCAGAAAATATTTGTTGCTAGAAAATAAAAAAAAACAAAATATGGCAGACGTCAACTGAAACTATATACAAACCAATATCAAGTGTACTATCTTAGAAAATTTCAAAGTAGTACTTTTTTAGCAAACATACTAGCAAAAGAAATAATTTTACCTCTGCTTTCTAAATAATTACTGCACTATTGTCACTTGTTTAAGGGTAAGAAAAAATAGTTCGCCTTCCCATCTCAAGCATTTTGCTAATTTTATCTACTGTCAATAAAAAAAAAATCACCATGTCTTCAGTGACCATCATATTACATGTATCTGCATTCTTTGTTGTTGATTTCCATGTCTGCTTTTCCCCCTTTTGTGTTTGAATCAATTGAGATGTTGTGGCTATGTGGAATATACTTATTGTTTCTTTTTATTTGTAAATTCATATTCTTTTGAAATGAAGGTCATTTAGTCTGAAAGCTAAAATACCCCCATGCCATCATTTCAAATTTTTAGATTATCAAAATCAACAAAGGTGTTGATGAGTGAAATCTTTATACAAATTTGATTGATTGATTGGTGTTTTAATGCCACTTTTGGCACTATTGTGCTATTTTGTGGCGGTCAGTTTTTATTGGTGGAGGAAGCCGGAGTGCCGGGAGAGAACCACCAACCTTCGGTAGGAAAACTAACAATCCTAGTATATTAAGATTTACAAGTCCTCTTCCTGAAAGAATAGTCCTCCATTTTCATATTTTTCTGATTCTCAAACTCCTCCAAGATTTTGTTAAGTGAATCCTTAATCCAAATTTGAAGAAGATCCAGCAGATAATGAGGGCACTATCCTGACAAGAATAAAGTTATGCCAGACAGACTGACACATAGACTGACAAAAAGATCATGGTACAGATAAAAAAATATCAAACCCTCCACAACTTTGTTGTATGGGGTAAAGTAACTGCCACAAATTGTCTGTTTATAGCAAACTATTCAAATAGAGTATATTACTCCCAAATTTACAAAGTATAAAGCTTTTATTGCTGTTCTTCACCTCAAAGGCACAGTAAGGCCTTCAATAAAGAGAAAAAGCTTACATCTCAATCAAGACAGTCCCTAGCATTTTTCAACTATTTTTTTAGTAACGGCATACAATTCTGTGTTTTTTTCAAACCAGTTTCCAACCAGAATATCATTTGTAGACTTATACAATTTTATGAAAGAAAACAATGTAACCTTTGTGTGACCATAAATATACAACCTCTATCCAAAATAAAGCTGCCTTACGCCAATAGATTTTATACTTAAAGAGCTTTGCCAGTTGATTATGAATACAAATTTAGGCATCCATCAACTTCTGATCATTGAATGTTCAGTTCTGCTGATTAAAGTTGTAGTATTGTAGTTTAAATACAAATTATACTTTGAAAATTGAAATCAGAGAAAATAAAAGAAGAATATGTCCATGTAAATTGTTTTGTCATAAATCAGGCTGTTGGTTTTTTTTGTTTGAATTGTTTCACATTGTCATGTTAGGGCCTTTTATAGCTAACTATTCAGTATGGATTTTGCTTATTGCTGAAAGCTGTATTATGACATATAATTGCTTAAATCCGTTTCATTTGGATTCTTTTGGATAGTTGTCTCCTAAGCAATCATACCACATCTCCTTATTTTATACTAAGTGAAAAAGAGAAAAATACATAAAGTCTGGCATTCAAATTTCATTGACTAAAATATAATACCCAAGTCTTTTGTTGCAGAAGTGACAAAAACTACCAATGATTTTTCTTTCAGTATAATTTAATAACCATTGATTTCGTTACTCATCAGGTATTAAAAGGTAAAATTTTTATAATAGTTTAAAATTAATATAAAACAATAAATATTTTAATAAAACTATATCACAAACTATTGGTAGAATCTGCTGATTGAACTCCAGAATGTTTTACACTATCTTCTAATGTGTTGTTGACTATTGTTTGCTCTTTATCTTCTGTGTGTTTACATGATAAAGAGTCATAGGATGAATTATTCAAACACCTGTCAGAATCTGATTTATCACAATCTCCTATTTGGTTTGTAACTTTATTTTCAGACAGTCTTTCCCGAGCAGACTTTTCAATATTGTTTAATTCCTTTTCTTTAAGATCATTTTCCATCTGTTTCTCTTTTCGAGTTTTCACTAAAATATTATGTCCTGAAAATATTTAAAATGTTGTAAATACATTATATTACAAGAATTGATACTATATATCAACCATAAAACTTATACTTAATATAAAATTTATATAGCAACTTCTGAAAGGAGAGTGGAATACTTTATTTATATAGATTATAATAACGATAACACACTTCCAAAACATGGTAAAATCAATTGACACTAGATACCAAAATGATGATTGTGGCCAAGTTTGGTTAAATTTGCCCCAGTAGTTTCAGAGGAGAAGATTTTTGTAAAAGTTAACGGACCATGTCAGACGAGGAAGACGGACACCATGTTATCAGAAAAGCACACTTGGCCCTTTGGGACAGGCGAGCTAAAAATAATGTATATAATAACTCATTCTGAAATACATGTATATTTGCCATTGGACAAAGAGCCAACTACAATTAATCCATTTACCAATAGACTATTTTCATATTACCGACTTTTGACTCCAAATTATATCATTTTTCGACAGGTTACCTTTTCTGTGGTAAGACATCCTGGTACTCGGTCAAGTAAGAGCAACCAAAATAAGAAAAATCAAACATATAATCGTTGTAATTTTAGGGGAAAGTTTACTGTTTTCTGATGATTTTGTCATGTAAAGCAGTTAATTTTCCCCTAAAATTATACCGATTGAAAGCTTTATTTTACTACTTTACCTTGCTCTTACTTGACTTGGTACCAGGATGCCCTACCACAGAAAAGGTAACCTGTCGAAAAATTGTATAATCCGGAGTAAAAAGGCGGTTGTATGAAAATAGTCTATTGTTATTTGTTCGGGAGTAAGTCAAGTATGAAATTAAGTTAATAATGACCCAAATTAATAAACTGTTGATACAGAGATATGTCTCGTTGTTATGTAATTTTGAAAGTATAAAGCAAATGTTGAGATCAAAATGGCAAAACTTTAACAAGTAAACTTAACTATGCAAAACATTCATCCAATAGACCATTACTGAGAGGATGGGGCTAAATAATCTCCATGGAAATAAAATGTGCCAATACACAACTGCATATCAAATGCCATTAATCTTCCACTAGTGGTTCCACATTAACTGACCTAATCACAAACTTACACATGTTAACAATGTAAAAGTCACAAAGTCAATAGATCATGACTGAAGGGCAGGGCCAAATAATCTCCATGGAAATCAGATGTGTTAATACTAATACAACTGCATACTAAATATCATTGACCTAACACTAGTGGTTCCCCATAAACTGACCTAGTCACAAAATAATACATTGTTGACTTCACTGACGCTGATGGGAGAAACAGGATGCCTAAGTCTCGCTTCTCTACTTTGTCAAGGCGAGACAAAAAACTGAGACTGACATGAAAGTCCAACTCTATGGATTGGAAAAGGGATGACATTATAAACCTTGCTTTGGTATCAAAATATTACCTTTACAGTCTAATGTTTCTGTCCACACTTTCTTCTTACAGCAACTTTTACACAACTGGAAGTCACATCGCTTACCCTACAATACAATCAGACTTAATTAAAAAACAGAAATATAAAATTTCTTTCATTGTCTCAAATTTTTGGAATACCAGAAAGTACATTGTGAATAATATTCCTTTCAAACATATGTACTTTTAAGAAGTTTCAAATATATTTAGTTAAAAGTCATTTTATTTTTAAAATGCAGATATATAAGATTTTTATTTTTTGATTGAATATTTAATGTCCTAATTTATATTAAGACTTTCCTTTGTTTAATCATTTAAATAATTTTTATGATGAAATAATTTTCATCATTCTCGCTGCACCAATAAATGAACACACATAGTACTATCGAAAACTGCACTAATATAAATCACGATGTCATAAAACTGAAACTAGATGAGTCGGAAAGACAAATGTGGCCCTGCTCGCAAAAAATGCTTGAAGCCATATTTAGGAGTGGAAATTTTCAAAGTCCAAAACCCGTAAATTCGGCAAAAATCAGCAGAGCAGAACCAAATGTAAACTCTATCTGTAACTCATCATAGTAGACTCATACTTAAAATCAGCTCAATATGTGAAGGCGTTTAGAAAAAAAGTCTGTATAACTGTTCATTGCCGAATGACAGAATGACAGACAATGGTAAAACTATATGGCTCCGACCTAAGTAGACGGGGCAATAAAAGGACACCGGTAAATATAGACTGAGTACTGTAAATTCAGAAATTATTGCGTGCATTTATTATTGCGATTTTGTCAATTAGACTAAAATGCGATTTTAATTTTTGCGATATTGAGAAAAATCCTGTTTAATTCATATAAAAAATTTCAAAATGCGAGTTTAAATTATTGCGATTAAAACCCTGTCGCATTTTTCGCAATAATAAAAACATCGCAATAATTTCTGAATTTACAGTAATAAAACTGTAATAATTCATATGCTCGTAAAATTAAAACATTTACAATAAATGATCATACCCTTGGGTTTGTGCAGTCTACACATCTTTCAAAAATCTCCCTCCCTGGAGTTCTATCAAAGTTTTTATATGGGTTTCTTAATTTCTTTTTTAATTTATTTTTAGACAGTCCGGCTAGTTCAGGGGGAGGGTTTTCCATATGTATCTGTCTTTTCGTAGGAGCTTTCTTGGCTAGATTCTCTTCTGCTTGTTCAGGCCTGTAATGAAACAAAAACTATTAAAGCATATCTAAGTCTGTCTGATTAAATATCAATTTATAAGTCACTGGTTTTTAGGTAAATAGCTATTCCAGGCAAAAATAACTATGAGGGCTGGACAACTTTTTTTTATACCCCACCATCCATAATTTTATTTCTTTTTTTGCACGAAATTGTATTTGCTTCCACCCTTAATAGCTACAGAAATAAAATGCTTCACTGAGCGCAGCTGGATACGACTGCAGAGGTCTAACCCTGAACAGTTTGGGCGAAAATGGACACAATATTCGCGCTTGATACAGGTTTGAATTTGGATTGTAATTAAATATTTGACACATAATAGGTTTCTGACACCGAAGTAGTCAAAGAACTTAGAATTGGTTAATATGATTGAATTTCTATTAATTTTTTTGCTTTTGTGCAATACACTATGCTGTTGCCAATTGACCCCCAACAACAACAACAACAACAAAAAAATTTACCCCCCCTTTTTTTTGCTTTTGAGAAATACAATATGCTGTTGCGTATTAACACCCCCCCCCCCCCCCCAAAAAAAAAAAAAATATTTGAAGAAATTTTCTTTTTAATTTCTGAAATCTGAAGTGAAAAAAAATATTGCCCCCCACAATTTTTTTTTACCCCCCTCCCCCTTTTTCCAAAAAAAAATTCTTTCCCTCAAGATATGGTCATAATCTCAATTCAAATTTCCAATGGAGTTTGCAACCATAACATGCATAATTACCTATTTAAATACATCATAAAAGTCTTATTAATAAATAGATAATTTAAAAGCAGTGTAAGGGAGGTAATCCAACATTGTACAACATTGTACAATTTTGTTTTTGAATTACCTCCCTTACACTGCTTTTAAATTGTCCATTAACTAGGAAACCCTTGTATTTTCCCCTTTTTTGCCCCTAATTCCTAAACGGTTTGAGCCATAACCCCCCAAATCCATCCTAACCATCTCTTTGTGGTATGGAAACTTGTGGTATAATTTCAGAGAGATCCGTACACTTAAACACAAGTTATTGTCTGGAAGTTGCAAAAATGCTTATTTTTGGTCCATTTTTGGCCCCTAATTATTTAACTCTTGGTACCATAACCCCCAAAATCAATCCCAACCTTCCTTTGGTGGTATTGAACCTTATGGTAAAATTTCATAGAGATCCATTAACTTAAACTAAAGTGATTGTGCGAAAACTAATGTGTCTTCGGACAACGACAAGGACGCCAACGTCATACCAATATACGACGCGGTCGTATAAAAATATGTTATGGCCAACCATCCAATATATTTTTCCTGGAATAGCCCTTATGTATACTAGTTATTAGGTGACATACACAAAAATAAGGCTCTAAATAAGACACATTTTATAGTTAATTCAAAGAAAGTTATAACCTTAAAGTGAGGAACACAAAAGTACTGCATTAACAAAAAATCTCTGTGCAGTGTTATTGAACATGTTTCAATTTTAAACAAGTGACTGAGCTTAACCATTTGTGTAAATTAGGAGAGCAGAGGACCATTGAATGAAGGTGTAAAAACTATGGAGTTAAATGTATGCAAAGAACTAAATTTTCAATGAAATTATTGTGTGAAAAAATGAATTTTTTACCTTGAGTTACAGCATCACGAAAGGCTTTTCCGGATGTGCTAAATTGTGAAAAAATGGATCTCACTTCTTACCTGGAAATTTAACCACATATGTGAAAATGTCTCAGCTATGAAACGAGCCATCATACATATCCAAGTTTACCATATGGGCAGAGGAATTAAGGAGACGGCTACCATTACCACCTACCTGAAATGAATTGCCCATATATACTCGGTTGCCAAAATTTAAGGATAAACAGTAATGATTAGGCTACTTACGTAGGTCTAACATAAGGCTGACAGATCCAATATGGGTGAGGTAGATCAGATGTATATTCTTCGTTAGATTCATTGTATTTTTTAATGTCTTCCTGAAAAGATAACTTTTAGGTCTTATTTTCTTTTCTTTTATTATCCTTTTGCATTTGTAATATGATAGTAAGGTTCAATTCTGTAATGGTTAAAAGTAGCTTGTTCAATGGTATACATCTACTTATATTTCTAAAATCCTTGCCTTTGTCAACATGTACTTATATTTCTAAATTCCTTGCATTTATCAACATGTACTTATATTTCTAAAATCCTTGCCTCTATCAAAATTTAGAAAATTACAAAAATGTAAGTGTTTATCAAATACCTGAACTCTACCGAGCAACTTACCAAAAACCTTACTTTTAACAGCAACAAAGCCTTCTCGGCCATTCTACTGAGAAACTTACCAAACATCTTTTAACAGCAACAGAGCAACTTACCAAAAATCTTTCTTTTAACAGCAACAGAGCAAATTACCATACATTTTTCTTTTAACAACATGACAGCCTTTTTGGCCGTTCTACAGAGAAACTCACTTAACATCTTTCTTTTAACAGCAACACAGCCTTTTTGGCCATTCTACAGATTAACTTACCAAACATCTTTCTTTTAACAACAACACAGCCTTTTTGGCCATTCTACAGAGAAACTTACCAAACATCTTTCTTTTAACAGCAACACAGTCTTTTTGGCCATTCTACAGAGAAACTTACCAAACATCTTTCTTTTAACAGCAACACTGCCTTTTTGAAACATTCAACAGATCTACCACTTCCTATCATTTCCCTAATATCTAAATGAACCTGTAATCTGAATAATACATGTGACTAAGAACATGACCTTATTAAATACAATGTATCATACAGCACTCATTTTAGTTCTGAATTCTTCTTTAATTTGATATGAGAAAGGATAGAATGTAAGTCATATTTAGTTCTTGCAGAGATTGTTTTGATTTCTAATATTAGAGTTTTGTGTAAATGATGTATAAGATTTAGCAATTTTTTATTTTTGATGAAGGAGACAATTTTGGTTTTAATCCATTGAGCTATATCAGAGAAGATTTTTACAGTCAATAGAAGAACGGATGCAAAGTGATGGTAATAGCTCACACTGTCCTTCTGGCCAGGTGAGTTCAAAACTTCAGAAAATATAAGAAAAATGCATTCTTTGTCCATTTCAAGTTTAAGTTCAACATGCATAAGTTGTCTACAAATTCTTTGAAGAATCTGTGCCATCACCCATTATTGTAACAGATTTGCCCCTATTTCTAGCATAAAACTTCTTTAAATAATTATTAATTCTGTTTTTACTGACTTAAAGGTAATTATTTAACTGTAATGAAATATTTCAAAATTGAACAAACTTACGCATGCTGGAACATTTTAAATAGATGACCTCTGACATAAGACAAAGGGCATGGATATTTATCTACAAGTTGAAGGTATTCTTCACCCATCTGATATACTGGTGGATCTATACCTTGGAACAAGGCAGGGTTGTGCAAATTTCCCTCTGAAAAAGGAAGGTGGCATTATAAATTATCTATAAGTTTGAGTATTATGGTAATGTTAAAACCTTTAGATACCTTTTTGTGTTATTTGGTTGCCTTCTCATTGTGAAAAAAAACCTCACATCTCTTATTCATAAATTTTTTTTTTCTATTTGAAAATTTCACCATGCCATCAAAATGAGAAATGAAATAACTAGTCCTATTAACCCATTTCATATTTTATGAACTTATGACAATTTTGATATTTCTGATGTCTCTTAAAACATCATGTATTAATAGAAAAGGAGTAGGTTTGATAAGAACCTAAAATGGCCCCTATTTTTAGCTACAATTTTAAAATAGGATTATTGACCAATATTACAATGAATCATAGCTAATACAATGACTAGACAGGAAATATGTCTTTTTGTTGAAAATTTATGTACTTGCCTTCTGTTCATGACATCCCAAATAGCACTCATTTTGATTTTCCACAAAAAACAGGTAAATTTCCATTCGATTTTTTTTACTGGAAACATAGAGCGCATGCATTGACAAAAAAGAGCTTTTAACATAATGTCTGTTATAACATTTAACATATTTAACTTGAAATTATAGTTTGTCGAAGCCTGCGCTCTATGTTTCCTAGGCCTAAATCTGGTTGAAATCTGGACAATTTCATCTAATTTCGCAAAAATCATTATTTTGGCCTATTTAAGATGTAAAAATGAACACTCTAAAATAAAACATTGACAAAAATAGTTGTATTTAACTTTCTCACATATCTTCTCATCAACTTAAAACATTTTTTTTCTTGAAACATTGAACCTAATGATCATTTCTAAAGTGAACAAAATTGTCTACAAAACTAACCGACTATTCTAGAAATAGATCACATCATTTTAAAAAAAAATTTAAATGTTGAAGGGTGACAATTCCCATATTACCTGCAGTCATCACACCATGAACACCAGTGTCCTTCATACATCTGTCCACATCTGGCAGGTACTGAATATTACCATTAGCATATACTGGTATCTTTAATTGCTCTCTATAACACATTTATCTTATTTAAACGATCATATGCAAACGTAATAACATATAAATATATATAACTTTGTGTCAATTCAAATTGTTGAGGTCACAACTCATGGAAACAAAATCATTCAAAGGGAGACAACTCATGTTTTTTTGCAGTAGAGAGAAATTTTTCAGACATTTTTAAACATACAGACAAGGTAGACAATAGACTATTTTCGCATTACCAACATTTGACCCTCGGGTAGAATTTATTTTTACAGGTTACCTACACTGTGGTAGGACATTCTAGTACTTCGTCAACTAAAAGCAAGTGAAAGAAGTAAAATCAAGCTTACAATTGGTACAATTTGGGGCAAAGATTAACTGCTGTATGTTTTCTATGTGCGACAAAATCATCTGTTAACAGTTAATTTTTCCCCCAAATTGCACCTCTTGATATTGTAATATGAATATAGTGTATTCATCTACCATTTTTTTATTGTTTTCTTTTGTTTCAAATGTTGCATATGACCTTCAAACTAAGGAGAAAAATATGTAGAAACCACAAGGTAGTTGGAATAACCCAAGACTTTGTTGCATGAATAAATATAACCAACATTAAATTAATAAGTATTGATGCCAAGGTAACATCATTATGATCATATTCATATTATTCACCAAATATTGAACTATAGATGTCTTTATTTCTTTTTAATTGTTTGGAAGCCTTTCTAAAATTGTCCGTTAAAAAATTTTGAAATTATAAGAAACTAAGGTTTCAACTCCCTCAGTTAAAGCTGACCTTAGATAAATTTGGCTATTTTTTAGGTCCTTTTTGGGTCATATAGCTCTTCAATTGTTTAGGTAATTATACATTCTTGGCTTTGAAATATTCAGATTTCAGTAATCTGAGAACTCTGCTTCTAACAATAAGAATAGACTCATTCTGAGCCCTTATTCAAACACTTAAACTGGATGACAGTTGAACAGAGAATAAAATATCACAAGTTTGTGATGACATTTAAGTGTATCAAAAATGATGCCCCATCATATCTTACTAGCAAGTTTCATTATGTTTCAGACAGAAATCCATACACATTGAGAAATGCTGTTCAAGGAAACCTCATACTACCTAAACCAAAAATTGAATTGTTCAAGAAATCTTTTATGTATTCTGGACCATTCTTGTGGAATAATTTGCCAATATCGTTAAGAAATATTACAAATGTTAATTCTTTCAAATACAAAATAACAGATCATTTATTGAAATCAACCTGTTGAAAAAAATATTGAATACTGATTATTTCATGTTTATTTTTTCAAAACATTGTTGTTGTTGTGGTGGTGGTGGTGGTGGTGGAGGTTGGTGGTGGTGGTTGGTGGTGGTGGTTGGTGGTTGTTGTTGGTGGTGGGTAGGTGGGGTGGTGGTGGTGGGTAGGTGGGGTGGTGGTGGTGGTGGGTGTGTGTGTATGTGTGGTGGTGGGTGGGTGGTGGTGGTAGGTGGTGGGTGTGTGTGTGGTGGTGGTGGTGGTGGGTGGGTGTGTGTGTGGTGGTGGTGGTGGGTGGTGGTAGGTGGGTGTGTGTGGTATTGGTGGTGGTGTGTGGGTGGTGGTTAGTGGTGGGTAGGTGGTGGTTGGTGGTGGGTAGGTGTTGGTGGTGGTGGGTGTGTGTATGTGTGGTGGTGGTGGTGGTGGGTGGGTAGGTGGTGGTGGTGGTGTTGGTGGTGGTGTTGTTGGTGTTGTTGTTGTTCCTGATGAAGGTAAATCCAGAAAAAGCGCTTCAGACACATGAAATTTATAACATGTTGTTTTCACTTTTTGGAGTGGCATCTCATTGACTGTAATTAGACACCATCTTTTGTCAACTTAACAGTAATCTGAGAACTCTGCTTTTAACAATAAGAATAGACAAGTAGACGCACTTGCTGACTGATAGCTATCTGAAACCCTAGACATTTTACAAATCAGCTACCTGACAGAATTGGCATTTTTTCATTTAAATAATGAGCTACCTGACTGCCTTTATATGTTCCCAGTTTGCTATACCAGTATTCCTTCCTTTCTGGTCTCTTGTTCTTCCATGGACTGTCAACAGCTAAAATATAAGGTAGATATAGTATTCTTGTAAACCAATGAAAGATTACTGGTTTGTAGATTAAGAAAGTATGAAAGTAAAAAAAGATTTTTCAGACTTTGAGAATTAAGACTACAAAAGAAATATCATCAATTAAAGGATCAAATAGAGATATAAACTGTCTTGGAAAATTTGGATTTACTTTGAGCAAATTACATATTTCCATCCTAAACTTCTTAAATGATTACTGAAAAGCTGAATACACAGAAACATTTAATATTATCAGAGGAAGGATAATTTTTTCCATAAACTCTTTACATTTACATCCTATTAATTTACAATGCAGTGATCTAAGTACTATGACTGTCACTCAAGATTTACAAGTAACATTTGAAAAATATGCTGCCATTTTAGAAAAACAGACTTAAATCAACTGCTTGTTCCTGTTATAACATATTTCTTGGCTTGAGGACTGACCATTTAACTTTGAAACAACTATTGATAAAATTAACAGACAAAATTTGTTGCATAAAGTTATCCTCTTTTTGTGTTTTGGTTTCAAGTCAGAAATGATACCGGACATACTGAAGAATACTTACTTGACAACCAGCTTTCTCTAACATCTGCGCATATAAAACAGTCTTCTGTATACTTTCAAATATTCTCACTTTGCAAGTTATTGGTACTTTTAAATTTTCATGGCAGACCTTAACTGTAAAAAAAATAAAATACAGGAATATATGCTACTGTCTTTATTCCAGGCAATAAACTGTTGATGCCAATTTTTGTTTATATTTTTAAGTTACTGTAGGCATAAGCTCAAAATTTCAATTTTATTTTTACATCAACATTTATAAGTAGAAAGTATGACATGTGTATTTCAAACAGGATTTAAAATACATGTACTGGTATGTGCATTTTTGAAACATACTGGGTAGTCCGATCACATCCCATATAAAAAGCATGGATCTATTATAAATCTGCAACAGAAACTTGCTGCCCCAAGTAAGGATCTGTAATTGTCATGTTTTCTTTATGGGCTGATCACTGCTGTACCAAGGCCCAAGGAACTACATAGTAAGTTTGGTTAAAGAAACATATAAATGTAAGCTTTGTTGTATATAGTTGTGAACAGACTGGATTAAAGAGTTATATTATCAGTATAATCAATTTACATTTAAAGCAAATTTTACATGAAACTTAAAATTGTCACCTGCAGTAAGGTGAGAGTTTTTTGGCTCTGTGTTGAAGGCCTCACTGTGACTTTAAGATGAAGAACAGTAATAAAAGCACTGTTCCTTTTCTTTTTGTGTTTTTGCTGTGCATTTACTGATTTCGTGTCATGGATGAATACCCCATATCCTTTATTTTTCTATTACATTAAGTGGAATAGTTTCACAATTCTTGAGTTAACAAGCATTCTAAGAGTATTGCATGGCAATACATAGTCCCCTACCGGAAAAAAATTCATTGTACTGGAACAAAATGCTAACTTGATCTATAACTTGTAATGGTGATAACTATATAACAAATATCAAGTCAATATCTTCAAGCATGATGAAAAAAAGTGTGGAAGTGAATTTTCTATGTCCAAGGACCATAACTTTGCACAAAATCATCAGACCAGAACAAAATTCTAACTTGATCTGTAACTTGTCATGGTAAAACTCTATACCAATTATCAAATCAATATTTTCAAGCATGACAAAAAAAAAGTGAGGAAAACTGATTATTTGAGTGAATTTTCTAAGTCCAAGGACCATAACTCTGCACAAAATCATCAGACCAGAACAAAATTCAAACTTGATCTGTAACTTGTCATGATAAAACAATACACCAAATATCAATCAATATCTTCAAGGACGAAGAAAAAAAGTGTGGAAAACTGATTTGCCTGACTGATGGATGGACAGATGGACAGACAGACAGACAGACAGACATACGGACAGAGTGCAAACCTAAAGTCGCCTTTGACTTCGTCGGTAGGGGACTAATAAAATAAAATAAAGTAACTGGGGGAGGCAATAAGGTCAAAAGCCATAGGAAAATATCCACAAAGTACACGCCTTTGTAAATAACCAGAAAACAAACCCACAAAATATCATCTTGTTTTCTTCATATATCACAATAAAGCGTAAAATTAGCTTGCTTGCAGTAATATTAAATTAATTATCTCCCCCTGATTTAAAAAGATGTGTGAAAAAGTTACACCTGTTGTCAAATAACATATTCTTTGATTCATTAATAAAATTTATAATTCTAGAGTATTCAAAAAGTATAGAATAAGCAATCATGTTTTCAGAAAAAAATAATAATAAATTTCAGTATTAGTTTATTTTTTACAACTTTTACATAAAAAAAAATAAGCAGAATATTCCATCGATATTCAGTAAAATGCTCAGTTTAACATTGTCAATCTACCTTACACTTACCCATTTTCTCTATAAGGTCCCATTCATCCTGTAGAAATGCCCCATAGTGACCACGCTTAGCAATGACTTGTGGACATCCTAGGTTAAGGTCAATTGCATCACAATAATCCTGAGCCAACAACCCTGCTTTCAATAAAACCTCAGGCTCGTTTGCACAAAACTGTAAAAAACCAAAAAATCATGTGGAAAAGTTACTAGTCTATTAGTAAAACTACAAGTATTTTGATTTCAATTCAGTAGCAGAGATGGGTCAATGGTTTGTACAAAAATGTACCATCTGAGGTGCCCAGTTTTCCCACATATCAAAGGCAGTCAGGAATCAAGGGTTCCCACCATTTGATGACACAACGAGCTCAAGATTTCTCACAAGGTTATGCCTGAGTTCCACCAAGTATTTAATCTGCTTCAACTTTAATTTTTTTTAATCAAAATTAACCATTATAAATTATAAAGTCTATACACATTTGAACCAATTCAATAGTTTTAAGTATATTAATGGATAACAAATTGGTGATTTTTCTTAAAGACAAAAATTTGATACATTCAGATTCTGCTCACCTTGGCAAATAACTGTCTTTCTTAAGAACAAGTTTCTTCTAACCTTGTTATATTATAGACTATATTAATTCCCTCAAAGAAAGGAGGGTTTCTCCCCACTTAGACTTTCTGCTCACCAGGACAACAATGGCCAGCTTTACGACAAAAATACAATTTTCTGCTCACCTGGACAATTAATGGTCTATCTTCAGTGCATGATTGGAGAGATTCTGCTCTGTAGCTAGCATCTCTGCAAAACACAGAAGCATGGAGCATAGGAGTATAACACAATTCTGCTCCATACCTTCTACTCAACATTCTCCAAGCTAGTTCACTCTGGTCAACCATTGGAGCAACTACATATTTTGCAGACTTTAGTGTCTTTTTCCAAAATTCAAAACCTTCCAACTTTTCCATTTCTCTGCTGAAAAAAATAATAATTAGAACATTTGTAAATTGTATACAAAATGTATCTTTTCTGTATATAAATTTTACTCAATAAAAAATTTGTTAAATACTTGGGTGCACTTGGTCGGCTTGTTCCGAACAGGTTCCATCTGTTCCAATTCCTGACATCATTTGAACAGATTGGAACCAGATGTATCATATTCAAAATAGAGGTTAGGGCTACCACTATGTTCAGCTGCATTAATAAAATTCAAGATAATAACCATAAATTGTGAAATTTCCTTAAAATTACTAATTCAGGGGCAGCAACCCAACAACGGGTTGTCTGATTTGTCTAAAAATTTCAGGGCAGATAGATCTAAACCTGATGAACATTTTTACCCCGTCATATTTACTCTAATGCTTCAGTTTCAGAGATATAAGCCAAAAACTGCATTTTACCCCTATGTTCTATTTTTAGCCATGTTGGCCATGTTGGTTGGCAGGCGGGGTCGTCGGACACATTTTTAAAACTAGATACCCCAATGATGATTGTGGCCACGTTTGGTTAAATTTGGCCCAATAGTTTCAGAGGAGAAGATTTTTGTAAAAGTTAACAGACGACGACGGACGCCAAGTCATGAGAAAAGCTCACATGGCCCTTTTGGGCCAGTTGAGCTAAAAAAGTGATGGATGTATGAAGTCAATAGTTCCAGTGTTGCAAATTCTTGTCTCAAGTGTTGCAGATTCTCAAATAGCGATAAGGTCTATTCATACTATGATACCACTATATATCACAACACACAAAACAATAGGATAGTCCTAAAATAGGTGTTATTTCAATGTGGAGATAGAAAAAGTCCTATCATACGACATTTTCCTATGCACATGCCTAGTTTTTACACAGTCAAATAAAGCAAATGTACTGATTTAAATAGATTTCCACTTAAAAAATTGACCACACTGCTCTAGTTTGACCCCTCCATCCAGATGAAAACCTACCTTATGACCATATGCTAATATTTTCATGCAGACGATGTTGTTTTGATCCCAACACTGCATACATTTGAAGCAATCATATGACTTTTATGTGTAAAATGAAATTGTACACGGAAAAACCGACTATCTCAGAACTGAAGTATTAATAAGAATGAATGTGAATATAGGTGACAGACTCATGGCGACAACAGGTATGTTGGCAAACGTGATTGTTGGAAAACAGATCTGTATTCAATTACAGATTTTAATTACTGCTATTGTCTGTGCCATTTAATACTCAGGGACATTGTAACAGTGGTTTGATTCCGCCAGTGTACTTTATCCGGAGGAAGAAAACCCCCAGTGATTTTTATCCACCAACAAAAATTCACTAGGTTTTTCTATCCGGGTCCAGTGTAAAACATCCACCAGTCATTATAACTTCTAAACAGTGTTTTTTGAAGGGGAAACGTGTATAAAATGTAGCTTTATATTTTTTAGTATATTTGAAACTTGCTTAGTTGATTTATGTAAAAAGTGGAGAGTTTTCATCCAAGGAATGTTCACACTAGTGTTTTTAAACAAGGAATGATTACACTAGTGATTTTGTACCGGAATGATTGCACTAGTTATTTTATACCAGGATCAATTACACTAGTACTAGTGCTTTAAATCCATACATCGATGAAGTGATTAGTACTCATTTTGGAACACACGATAACACAATAATGCTTATTAACGAATAAGATTTAAATAATTTTTCTATGCAATTCTATAAAATCATATGCTTTTAAATTGTCACTCATTGTAATATTTATATTTATTGGATTGCCGAAGTTTTTCTGTATATTTGCTTTTCGGTCGACTTGGATATAAAATCATATCTTCTATGTCAATATCAAAGGATGCTTCAACAATTGAAACTTTATGTAAGAACAAATCTGCTCTTTAAATTTGGTTTATATCAAGTTCAATGTCCTGGTCATTGATAAAGTATTTTGAGTTATAAAAACATCCTCCTCATTATCATCAATATCATTTACTAGATTGACTCAGATTAATTACACTGGTTTCTTGAAAATCGTTTTAATTTTAACCCATTTATTTATGTAAACAATAAACCGGTCTAATATAAGCAAAACAACGATATCAGGTTCGACGCTTTCACACTATTTACATCCAATACTCTCTAGTGAAAAACAGTTACCTGGAATAAATACACGGCGGAATGAAAGTACGCTTGCAACATCACAACTGTTCCCGTAAATTTTGATATCCAAAAAGAAAAATGATTGTTGTATGAGATCAGAGACATATAATACAATGTTATTAACAAAATTGTATTATATGTCTCTGATGAGATCAATAGTTTAAGTGTCACGAATTCTCGGTCAATTGTCGCAGATTTCCTAATAATTATACGATCTAATATAATAAATGTCAAAATCATCTGGGACTAACACCTATAATACTTAATTATTATTAATCCAAGAAATCATCAATGAAAATCTAAGCTGTCTCTGTCTTATTCAAAAGGGATAACCTAGGGTTTCCATGGGGGAACTCAATAGTCACAGGTGAAAATATTTCACATAATTTTATTTTTGGTTCGTGTTTTGTGTGAGAGTTATATTATTATACGCTCGTCAAAATTTTGACAGGACATATTATGGTATACAAATGTCCGGCGTCCGTCTGTCTGTCTGTCCGGCGTCCACATGTCGCCCCGTAACTTGAAAACGACTTATCCAAATTTCATAAAACTTAACATAGTTGTTTCTTATGATGGTCGAACGAACTGTATACTTTTTGGTGAAAATAAGATTAAACCTTTTTGAGCTACGGGACTTTGTAACTAAAACAGGGGGGTGTTTTTTTCACGTTTCACGATTTATGATTATTGCTTAAAACTTTACACACTTCTTAATTATATTAATCTAAAGATCTTTATACTTTTTGGTGATGATTCAAAATTTTATTTTAGAGTTATTGATTTTTTACAAAAAAAGGGGGGTTTTCACATGTCGCGCCGTATCTCAGAAACGATTTATGATGATTGCATAAAACTCACACACAAGACGACGGGCGTATCATGCGCTCGTGGCTCAGTTGTTTATTTACATTCACTTACAAAATTTTACAACGAAAACGTGCAATTTTCTGCAATAAAAAAATCCCCAGGGAAAACTCTAGAGGAGTTACTTATGGACAACAGGGAAAATATCAAAATGTCAAAAATTCCAAAATCAGCTGACATTGAAATTTTTGTATAAAGAAGTAATTAAACATTTACATTGTTTAATTTGTATAAAGAAATAAATGTTTCGATATTTTACAATGAAATTAATATAGATTGTTGTAAAGATGAGTTTAAATATTTTTTCAAGCCTGTAACTAGTTTCGGAATATTTTCCGGATTTGTTTTTTCAATCACATATCTGGATTTTGATCATTTGGGGCATAAGATTACTCACATGATATATTGGGAAGTTTAGAAAGTTTCCGTCTAAAGTGGTGGTAAGTGCTCAATTGTTAGAATTTGAATAAGTTAAGCTTACAAATTAGTAATCAATAATGAAAATCCTTATTTATTTAGTTGACTTTGAAGAAATAGAGATTTGGCTTGACAGGCAGAGGAATATATGTCATCATTAATGTTTGTGTTTTGCTTTAAGTCCAGTTGCAAATATTTCATGCATATTCAGGACTGGAACTTATTAACAATAAATACAATAAGAAGGTGCTGCAGGGTCGACTGTGATGAAAAGCAGGAATTTTTTGCTGCCACAGAGTTGTTACAAGGGTGTTTTTTTTTATGTATGGCAATTTTTCGATACAAGCATTGGATTTATCGTTATTATAATTATTATACATCCTGACCAGCCAAGTGGACACCTCACTTTAGCTAGGGTTTTACTGCTGGAACCGGAGAAGTCCAAGGGGCAAGGGATAACCATATTTCTTTACTCCAGTCAACCCTTGGGGTAACATGAATATTAGAATATTTTAGTATATATGCAAACTTTAGTAGTTGCAGATTCAGATTCTTCATTAAAGATAACTAATATTACATTAGTGTTTTCAAGAATTGTTTGTTATTTCTAATGCATCTCTAATAAATTTGTATTACTGGTAAATAATTACTGTACATTCAATAATATTTTGTGGATTTAAAAGTTTAGGAACTGAAAAATAATTATTATGTGATATCTTTCAAATCTATACAATAAGATTGGAAAAAAGTTTGCCTTATCTCTAAATATATTTATGACAAGATATCAAAAAATGTCTCTGTCTACTTAAGTGCAGAATTTGCAAAATCGTTCTTCTCTTGGAATTTTGGGTTTATTATAGTTAACTGATAGGCCATATGAATTTTCCTAGGTTTAAAGAAGTGAAAGTAATTAATTGTTAACAAAGTAAGATTGTTCCATAAGCAGTCAGGGGAAATACTGAATTAACAATGATTAAGTGATTTATTAATCACTCATTTAAGTAGCAAATTAGAAATTCTGTAATTTTGTAGTTTTACAATGTATCAACATTTTAAACATTATAACAGGTTAGATTGTATCTAATTATTAGTAAAATTTAAAAAAATGAACCTTTTGCTTCTTTAAAGTAGCAAGGTTTATGCCATTGATGCAACCATTCATCTGTAAATTCTATATTTGTTGAAAAAAATGCTACAATAAAGCTTTGAATAATGATCTAATACTTTCTTAACAGATTTTTCCAGCAGTGGGAGTATTTTTCCTGTAAAATTCAAGGTTTCATCTTACAGATTATGTAATAAAATTTTACTGTTTGCGACCAAAATTTCACTGTTCAGGGGTGTTGAAATTAGTGGGGGTAATTAAAATAATAATACTTAAAGAAGTGATTTTTTTTAAAAACTAGAGGTATGATACTTAAACAAGTGATTTTCATGTCATTATCCCAGAATCAGTACAAGGTCATCATGATCACCTGACATGACTGGTCATCCTATAAACACAGATGTTGGTTCTGATAATTTTAGCAACATAATTAGTCCCTGGATCATTAGTTTTTTATATATTTAAAGCTACAATAAAATTAAATCATTTAGTCTAGTGATTTATTTGTACTACTTAAATAGGTGATTATTAAAGAAAGACAACTCTTACTTCCAACATTTCTGGAAAAATGTTACTTGAATCAGTGATTTCTTAATCACTCATTTAAGTAAGTCCCCTGACTGATAAGATAAATTTAAAGGAGCACCTGGTCCTTTAGCTTTCTGATGCCAACTTCTGCTGCTTTTAATTGCTACGAAAACATATAGGCTACTTCTTTGTTCTCACTGTTTAACATGGCTATGTTGAATCATCATGATCAAAGGCAACATTCCAAAAATACATTTAACTCCAAAAAGACATCTGTTGGTTAGGCAGGGGGAGCGGGGAGTCTACTTTAACCTATTTCATCATGTTCCATTTTTAACTGGATTTTCGAAGTAAAAATCGGTTATTGATTTGGGGATGTACGGTGGGTGCGCGTGGGCGGCTGCCAAACATTAATGATAAATGACATTTTGGATTTTTTTTTCTGTTCTTTGGTAAATTGTTTGAAGAATTTTGTGGAAGGTTTGTTTGTTATTCTGTTTAAACTAATTTTCTGAATGCTATGTATATAATTTTTATTTTATGAAGTGAACTCCTTTAATTAGATAATAATCTATTTTTATTGAAGGATATATTTCATAACATTACATTGTGTAGATAGATAAGTTGCAGATCTATATTAGTTTGTGACAAATGAAAGAAGAAATATTTGGAACTATTAATTATATTTGATTATAATTTGAAAATAGATATACATTGTGTTACATCATATCTAATTTTAGAGAACTATTTTTAGTGAAATCATATCTAATGTTAGAGTACTATGTTAAACCATATTTCTGTTCAAAGGGAAATAACTCAAACTTATTCCATGAACCAGTAATGATAACATCAAAATTTCTTATAACTATTTTTTTTTGGTCATGTGTGTTATGAAGGTAGATGTCACAGTTGTTATGTGGTATTTTATTTTTGTTGTGTGTGTTAATGTTTAATTTTTACATGATCCTGTTTGGGGTTCAGATTTGCAAATATCATTTTCATTATTGTGCTGTAAAGTTTATACGACAATAGAATATTTGATTTGATTTGATTATTAAGTAGATAATAATCTATTATAAATATTCAATCATAATCCAAATTCAGAGCTGTTTTAAGCTTAAATGTTGTGTCCATACTTGCTCAACTGTTCAGGGTTCGACCTCTGCAGGAAAATCCAGACAGCCTCTTGTTATCTAATGTTTATGGTTTGTTAAATGTCCAGTGGCAAATATTTAAAATTTTCAGGACTATTCCAGATCTTGAAATTCCTCAGATTAGATTTTAGACATTTCCACTCAGAATATTTCCATGAAATTCACCATACTTTTTCAGTAACATCCAAATTTTCTTTACTTGGAAAATAAATCCATCTTGGATTGGCCAATTTATCACAATTACCTTACAATGTTATTGTAACATGTAGGCTTATGGACCTTTCACAATATTCAGTTGGTGTTATTTTGTTGTGAAAAGTGTATTTCAGGTAGTATACATGGTATAAGAGTTAAAACATTGATAAACAAAAAAAATAAGTTTGGTTTTTTTTGGTATCAATCAAACAATCTGTCTTAAACTTTGTGAAAAAAACACACTACTATTAGTATGATATACAAATTTAGATTACATTTTGCAGATAACTAACCAGAATTCAAGATGTCAGGTTCACTCTTCCGCAGTGAAGAGATGAGCCTTTGTCAGATCTTCCTTCAATCAGAAGCAGCATATGCATGTATATCACAGTTGGGAGAACTTGGACTGGTACAGTTTAAAGATGTGAGTAAAGCAGTAGAACATTAATAACACGGATTAGGGGATATAAAGTTATAAATCAAACCTTGAATATTTCCTTAAATTTTTTATTGGTGTTTTGTAAAAGGTTAGAATGCACTAAATACTTGCTGTCAAGTTTAAGGGTTTGTGCCTTCTTCAGTATGATTTAAATAACTTTTTAAAATATAATAACCTGATTTCCTAAACTGTCAGACCCTCCACATCAGATGATCCATTTTACTATGTATCAGTATGATTTGATGCTGCAGATGATAGATGAATTGAGATTAAGTAAATATAATATGATATTTTGAAGAATTTACTTTTAGGTTAACCCTTTAAAACACAGCAGTATTTGTAATCTCAAGCATTTTATAAAGGAAGCTTACTTTCATTTGGAAAATCCACTGGAAAGATACCTGAAGTTTTTTAACTGACATATATTTTAGCTTAATAAATTATAGTAGGCAACTGCACATGTTTGCCTCATGAAATATTTATGATATTATAAATGTTTAGGAAACATAATAGATAGTAGAAATAAGAATATTATTGATTTCAGCTGAATCCAGATGTAAATGCTTTCCAGAGGAAATTTGTCAGTGAAATTTTAAGATGCGATGAAATGGAAAGAAGATTAAGTAAGTACAACTTAAAATACTATGGATTCATTTTTTTTTTTTTTTTTTTTGGATACCAGTTTTCAAAAAATTGTATTTTCATCAATATCTGATTTCCTGGATTAGCCAAAGTCTCCATACAGACCTATAGAAAATTTGTGCTTCATTTGTTACAATAATTGCTTTTTATACGGCCGAAAAAATTTTTTGCGGTCGTCAATTGGTATGACGTTGGCGTCGTCGTAGTCCTAAGACACATTGGTTTTCGCACAATAACTTGAGTTTAAGTGAATGGATCTCTATGAAATTTTACCATAAGGTTCAATACCACTAAAGAAAGGTTGGGATTGATTTTGGGGGTTATGGTACCAACAGTTAAGGAATTAGGGGCCAAAAAGGGGCCAAAAATAATCATTTTTCTAGTTTCCAGACAATAACTTGTGGAACGGTGTATGGATCTCTCTGAAATTATACCATAAGTTTCCATACCACAAAGGGATGGTTAGGATTTGCTTTGGGGGGTTATGGCTCAAACCGTCTAGGAATTAGGGGCAAAAAAGGGGGAAAAACAAGGGTGTCCTGGTTAATGGACAAATACATTAGTACAAAACATAATTTAAAGCAGTGTAAGGGAGGTAATTCAAATACATCATTTGAATACTCCCTTACACTGCTTTTAAATTATGTATAAAGTAATGGTTAATGAACAATTAAGACAATTTAAAAGCAGTGTAAGGGAGGTAATCCAAGTACAATGTTTTGATTACCTCCCTTACACTGCTTTTAGATTTTGTTAAAAGAAATGCATATTTATAAAGGAAGACCAGTAAAAATATCTGCAAATGTTGCATCTTTTTTTTTTTACAAAAAAATCCATATGAAAGATTTGACACCATATTTTAAATTCTATTATAAAATAGATTAAGTTAGCACTATGGTAAATTTAAATGGGTTATTATGGTTGCAAACTCCATTGGAAATTTGAATTGAGATTATGACCATATCTTTAGGGAAAGAAATTTTTTTGGGGAAAAGGGGGGGGGGGGGGGGGGGGGGTAATTTTTTTTTTTTTTTTTGTGGGGGGAGGGGGGGTCAATTCGCAACAGCAAAGTGTATTGCACAAAAGCAAAAACTTGAATATAAATTCAAATCATATAACCAATTCTAAGTTCTTTGATTACAGTTATTCTGTGTCAGAAACCTTTTATGTGTCAAATATTTAATTACAATCCAAATTCAGACCTGTATCAAGTGCGAATATTGCGTCCATTTTTGCCCCAACTGTTCAGGGTTGGACCTCTGCGGTCGTATCCAGCTGCGCTCGGCGAAGCAATTTATTATATATTCCTACGCAACAAATTCATTAAAAAACTTCCATTAAATATGATATTTTAGATATAAGGTGTAATGAATTTCATGGCATTCGTTCAGCTGGTTTTTGAATGTTAAGTACACTCATTGAAATATCTTTCCTTTTGCTGTGTAAAGGGTACATTGAGAAGGAACTAAAGAAAGAAGAGCTGAAAGTCCCAGACACTGATGAAAATCCTTCAGCTCCAGCTCCTAAAGAGATGATTGATTTGGAAGCAACGTTTGAAAAGATAGAATCAGAGTTGAGGGAGGTTAACACCAATGCAGAGGCTTTAAAACGGAACTTCTTAGAGTTATCAGAGCTGAAGGAAGTTCTGAAGAAGACACAGGTTTTCTTTCAAGAGGTATGTGCTGCTCATGTCAAAATATAATCATGTAAAGTCATTAAGTGCTTTAAAAAAATTTAACTTTTTAAAGGTTGAAGAAAGTTCCTGGAGGACGATTGATAAGTTGTATGTTCTTTGACTTTCCAATATTGAAGAAGGTTAAGGAAATTTTCTCCAGCTAGATTTAGCCACACAGAAAAAAAGCCAGGGCAAGTTAAAAGATATTCTGATCTTCAGTTTTTGATTGATAAAAATCAAAACATCAGATTATTCTTAGCATATTTAATATACTGGTAGTTATATTGTACAACTTCGATATTGTAAAATTAAAAAAGTTTAGTTTTTTGGTCTTACTGAGGCAATGTAAAAAAAAACCAGTTGCTCTCTTGGCAGTTCAGAGTTTTGAAATGAGTTTTAGTAGACAAGAGATTATCTCAAAAGATATAGAGCTGACACAACTAGCAACATTCAATCAATTTAAACTAAATATATTTTTCAGGTGAAGGAACATCATCAGGCAAATATACTAAATATTTATCAATGCAAATAGATTTGAGCATTTCTGTATGATCTTATTAAAACTTCAAGGGCTTAGGCAGCCTAGTAAGTGAGATGAAGGAATGAAAAGTGACTTTACGGTCTTAGCTGCCTGCTAGCTATAAAGAACTGTAATGCCAGCAAGGTTTCTTGCCTTTTGGGCATAAAGCGATCCAACATCATTTTTGTAGAAAATGTGATTTTGAAAATAAATTTGATTGTAAATATTATCATCAGTGGTCTCGTTAGCCCAAAATAGAAGGGCGCCGTGCCCTGGGTGCCCTCAGCCGCGCCCTGGGTGCCCTCAGCGGCGCCCTGGGTGCCTTCATCCGCGCCCTTCTGCCCTGACGCCTTTTTCCCAAAAACCCTTGTGCCGTTTGGTAAAATTGCCTTTTGTTACATTCTTATCACAAAGTTAAATTATATATATGACACCAGGTGATTTTCCCCAGGTTAATCATGTCATTACAATCAATTACAGTGGATAAGACTTCAAAGGTGTTAATAACTAGGTAATTTAATTAAGACAATGTACCTTTTTGTCATAAATTTGATGAATGAGTCAACGAGTGTTTTTAGCTTGGGTCAGCATTTTAGATCTCCAAGAAGAGTGAATAAATGAAGACTTCCATGACTTTAGAATAGAATTTAAGTCATCAAAATACAACTATGCCTTCACAGAAACGCCGTCCATCTCAACTTGTGAGCGAGAAGCAAACAGTAAACGTGTTAGAAATTAATTTTGGAGTTACTTCCCCTGTTTTAGCTTATTACAAATTTGTGCTCCTAAAATATTATCTAGTATTAAAAATAGGAATAAATTACCAATTGTATACAAAACTATATAAGAATGTTACCTTAAGGATATTAACTTCTTTGAACATACCAAAAAAATATATTGCAATTTATTTTTGATAATCATACTTTTAGCAATCCATGTTCTATACATTGTCAAATAAGACATTTGTATATAAAGTTGTTATAATGATGTTAAGCTGTATAGCCAGTCAAGGTCGTTAAAAACTCCCCTCATCAAGCTGCAATCCTACAAAAATGGGTAGTGTGAAGTTAAACTATCATGAAATGATCTTGATGAAGCTTTAATAAATAATTCCTTAACACAAATAATGAAAAAAAAGTTTTGAGGGTTAAACTCTAGCTGAAAATTTTGTAATAAATCAACTCTGTCACATGTATTCTAAACTATGAGATGTTTAGTTTATGTTGTTTTTTTTTTTGGAAAAGGGGGGAGGGAGAATAGTAAGTTAATTTGCCTCTATTGGTTTATAGTGATGTGATGTATGAATGTGTATTGACATGTTTTATGAACATGTCGTATGAATTACATTTTCTAATGCAAATTTTATAGAATAAATAATCAAAACAACAACTTATGCATCTTTATTAACAACATATATAGTAAAAAAAAGAATGTGAACTCGTGATCCACACAGAAACGTAGACAAAAGAAATGAGCAGTGCCTTTTCCTTTCATAAAAAAGTGCCCTGCCCTCCACTGGCACCCTGCCCCTTTTGATTTCTAGCTGGAGCACTGATCATTTATGCCTCTCTGAGGATTATCACTTATCGTTGATGAATTTTTTACCAGTTGTCTATCCCTAGTTTAGCATAAGAGCATATACAGCATATATTGTAGGCTCTGGGATCCTAATACACTGTAGCTGACTCTTATGTCTTTGGTTTTTTTTCCAGCATGGACAACACAACATTATTGGAGATGCTCAGCATGCTTTAGGGCAAGCAGATGATACCCAGACTGGTACAATACAGTTAGGATTTGTAGCTGGAGTCATTCCCAGAGAAAGGATGCCAGCTTTTGAGAGAATGTTATGGTTTGCTTGTCGTGGTAATGTCTTCCTTAGATATGAGGAGATTCCTCAAGTCCTTGAAGATCCTGTCACTGTAAGTTATCTCCCTTAAAACTTGATGATTTTTTTTGTTTATTATTGTCCATTGGCAAATATTTCAACATATTCAAGATCAGAACTTATTAACAATGCTTCAATGGTAGGATCTGAAATGCTTGCAAGATTGGTGAAGTATAAAAAAGGCATATTTGTAAGTGTCTGAAACTAATCCATACAAATGTATCAAACACAGGCTATTCTGAACAGTTGTTATTTGTTTTTTAAGCATTCAAATAGTTATTTGTTTTTTAAGCATTCAAATAGCATGGTATTTCTCACAATCTTGGGGTTTCATTTTTATTTATCAAGACAAGACATGCATATTTATACACCCCTATTTGCTTCCTGTTTCAAATAGATAAATATGTATTTGTTAGCTGAGTATGTCACATCTTATAAAAGTAATGTTACACAAAGGAAGAAATATAATGGAATATCAAAGAGTGAACAACCTACTTGTAACTGCAGGTTTATAGATAAATAGCAATACAAAATGTAGATGTAGAAGAAGGTACATGTAACTATGACAGAGTTAATCATGGATTTAACTTTGGATAGAAAAGTGAAATTAGTAAAAAGAGATGTTGGTTATACCTGTATACAACAGTGATACAGCAACAAGTTAATTGTCTTGAAAAGGTATGTTTAATACAGGTTTTACTGTATGATTCAGTATTGGAAAAAAAAATAGTTACTATCTTTAATTTGTTTCAGGGAGATGGCATACACAAGTCTGTCTTTATCATTTTTTTCCAAGGAGACCAGCTAAAGTCTCGAGTCAGAAAAATCTGTGAAGGGTAAGTCAGAGTTATAGGTTACCTTTAGCATTATTTAGGAAGCAGTTTGGTAGATTAACCCTCATCTTTATCATGATTGTGTCAAATTTGAAAAACTAAATACACAGAAAACATTGAAGACAGACATTTCCATTCAAGATGGCAAATGAATGAAAAGCCTTTTGTAGGTGTCTTCTTTTTAATAAATATGTATTGACATTTAAATTATGTGACAATCCTGTTAATATTCCATCTTCTTTTATTTTAAGGCATCTACTTAAGAAAAAACAAAGGAAAGCACTTGACATCATTGAATTAACAAGAATTTTGAGAGATTAGCAAATAACATCTAGTAACTTTCCCTGAAAATGGATGTTATGAAACAATACAAATTTTAACATTTTGCATCAAGACTTTAAGAAAACATTTTTTTCCCCCTGATATTAACTGTGATGCTGTGTAACTTGTGTGCATATATTATCATGAAGTTAAAACTGATGTTTCAATCATAAATCAATTACACTTTCGTTTTCATGAGATTTTTAAATATAATACAGCAATTTCTTGCAGTATTGTTATTATCTTGATTATTCATTTACATTTTTTGTATTAAAAATATGATAAGCTAAAAGTGTATATACTTGTGGATAGGTTATGGTCTAAAATGTCATATTGTTTGAAATGAAAATGTTAGAGATGCCTAAAAAGGAATCATGTTTTCAGATTCAAGGCAACTTTGTATCCCTGTCCAGAAAACCCACAGGAGAGAAATGAAATGTTAAATGGAGTATCGACAAGACTTGAAGATCTTAAAACAGTAAGTACAGACCTGTACATTGTAGCTCAATATATGGGAATATAGAAAGTATTAAACTCTGAGATGTTAAAAGATTGGGGAATAACACACAACAAGGTTTAATGAAAAGTAAAAGCTGGATTTCTCAAAGGTTAGGACTACAAATGAACTTACCTTCAAAGTTAAACTAAAGTATATGGCTTAAGGACACGGTTTTTAAGATTTAATGAGTTGAAACTCCGAGGTTTATTAATAAAACATTCAAACAACTTGAAAAATGATTAAAAGGAATGACAATACCAGTTATCAACACAAATATATGGAACCATTAGAAAACGCACTCCCCACTAAGGAACATATTTTCTTTTTCAAAAGAAAATTGTGAATTATATAAAGCCAAACTTCACATGCCATTTAATTAAAGTCATTGATATGATTCAAAACTGATAAATTGTTTGATTACAAGTTCTCCATACTGTTCCATCTTTGGTATTTTTGCATACACTTTAGCACTTCATAACAAATAAGCTAATGTTTCTCTGCTTCTCATTAATCAGAGTAATTATAAGATATTCGTAATTGGTTTCAAACAACTATATTTTCATTTCAAATTTCAACATTTTTATGCCGCGGCGGGGGCATTAAGTGTTACCCTTGTCTGTCTGTCCGTATGTCCCAAAATTAGTTTCCGTTCTCTTAACTTTAGTTTGCCTCAACCACATGTTATGAAACTTATACACAATGCTTATTACCACAAAACACAGATTAAGTTCGAATTTGGGTTGCATCACTTTTACCGTTATTGAGTTATGTCCCTTTATAATATTATATGCAAGCAGGGGCATCATCTGTGTCCCACGGACACATTCTCTATTTATTTAACAAAAAAAGTGATTAAACAGAAAGTATATGTGTTTAAAATTTTTCATAGGTCTTAAACCAGACAAAGGACCATCGTAACCGTGTTTTAGTTGGAGTTCAGAAAGAGATAACAGCCTGGATTATCAAAGTCAAGAAAATCAAAGCTATCTACCATACACTCAATATGTGCAACTTTGATTTGTCACATAACAGTCTGATTGCTGAGTGCTGGTGCCCTGTTATGGCTTTAGAGGATGTGCAGAGAGGATTAAAACATGGAACGGTAGGTAACAGCTTAATTTCAGGATAGACTTAAAATATTTTTAAAACTATACAGATATTATCTTTGATATATTTAAATGTGTGAATTCAAATAGAGATATGCAATATATTATCATTTAGTGCTCGTTTACCAAAAAAAAAAATTAATTTTGAAAAATTTAATCATAGTCCCTGTTTTTAGAAATGTAGGAATATTGAAAAAAAATTTACATAGAAAAACAATTTATGTTTGAATTGAAATCAATGGGATATTGATACTTACTAAACTGATTTAAAAAAACTACTAGACAAAAAGAAGTAACCCAAATATTCTGTTGAACCTTCTTAATGTAACTGTGCAAGGTCCTCAACCAAGAGGAGTTTCTTATAGCAAATTCCAAGGTCAACATCTTTTTTCTCAAACTTATATCCATGTAAAAGTATGTCATATGTTTTGGCGACTGTACTAAAGATGTTTTCGTGGTTAGTGTTTAATTTGAGGTTTATATTTTTGGTATGTAGGAGTTAAGTGGCAGCACAGTACCATGTATTCTACATCGTATGGATACAAAGGAAACACCTCCAACCTACTTCATCACGAACAAATTCACCCAAGTCTTTCAGGACATAGTTGATGCCTATGGTATAGCTACATACCAAGAAGTCAATCCAGGTACATTAACTCTCATTTTACATTTTTGTTGACAAGGTTGATGTTTATGTTGAATATAGAGGATATGAAGAGAGGTCCATACAGCAAATAAAAGTGCATGCAAAAAATTAAATTGAATATTTCTTTAATTTGAATTTCTAGCTCAGATCTATTAAGAGTTGAAGTTAAATACATTTTATATGTACATGTTCTTTTAGAGGACAAATTAGCACCATTAGTGTCAACAGCCAGTTCCCCAGAGAAACTGATAATTTATAGCTTGCGACACCCATATAGTATAAACACTTGTTCTAATATTAACTACCCTATGTTGACCTCAATCTGTATGTTTTGGTTTCATTGTGTTGTGAGGTTGCTAGATTGACATATACCCAATTTCCTTTTGTTTTTACTTAATTAAAGTTGAACTTTATTGTAATAACAGCATTATTGGCTATATAAGTTTACAGAGTATTATAATAGGAAAAACAAGGCCAGCCTATGTATAAAACTGGATTTAATAATTATAAAAACTTTTCATAATTTTCTTTCAGCGCTGTACACGATTATATCTTTCCCATTTCTGTTTGCTGTAATGTTTGGGGATATGGGTCATGGTACCATCATGTTCCTGTTTGGACTTACTCTGGTGTTGATGGAGAAAAAATTGATTAGCATGAAAGTCAAGGATGAGGTAGGTAAAGGCACAAGCTACTATAAATCAAAATAACATTAGTTTTATCCTTCTTTGTATATCACTTTTTGAGATTGTTTACAGGAACAATTGAAAGCAAATCTCTGACAGCTAACATACTAATGTGATTACTTAATATGACAATTACACATGTACAGACTGTGTTATTAGAAATTGTAATGTTTGTATAATTAATGTGATGCTCATTAAGTCATATTTTCTTGATTAAAGAAAAAAAGTTACCAGAAATGAGCAAAAAGGAAAAGGTAATTTCATTGTTGTATTTTAAAACCCCTCCACTAATAGTAGGGGGTCATTATGTTTTCTGGTCTATGTTATAGTTAATCTGTCCATTCTGTATCAGTTTAAAGATTATGGTTAATGTAGTTTACCATGAAGTTGTGACTACATCAACTTAAAGCTTAATGCAGATGTTCATCATGATGTTAATTTTTATACGATCGCAAAAAATTTTGCGGTCGTATATTGGTATCACGTCGTCATCAGCATCGTGCGAAGACAGTTGGTTTCCAGACAATAACTTTAGTATAATTAAATAGAAATCTATGGCTCAAACCTTTTAGGAATTAGGGGCAAAAAAGGGGGAAAAACAAGGGTTTCCTGGTTAATGGACAATTACTTAAGACAATTTAAAAGCAGTGTAAGGGAGGTAATCCAAACACAACGTTTTAATTACCTCCCTTACACTGCTTTTAAATTATGTATAAAGAAATGTTGTATTGTCTTGAGATGATTAGCTGTCAATTTATTTTTAGAAGTTACTATTAAGGAATATTAATTTTAGCCTTGATTATGTATGTCATTTTCTATTTTAAGACTTTTATGATGTATTTAAATGGGGAATTATGGTTGCAAACTATATTGGAAATTTGAATTGAGATTATGACCATATCTTGAAGGAAAGAATTTTTTGAGGGGAAAAAGAAACCTATTATGTGTCAAATATTTAATTACAATCCAAATTCAGACCTGTATCAAGTGCGAATATTGTGTCCATTTTTGCCCCAACTGTTCAGGGTTGGACCTCTGCGGTCGTATTCAGCTGCGCTCGGCGAAGCAATTTATTAATTATTCACAGATCCCTAAACATGGAAATCCGTACATTCTCAGATGAAAGTTTTTGTTTAAAGTAGTTTACCATGAAGTTGTGGTCACATCAACTTGAAATTTAGTGCAAATGTTCATAATGATGTTTAGTTTTTAAATTATATTCCAAATTACAGTTTTGGTCCTTTTTTGTCAGTCCACTGAACATGGAAATGTGATAGTCAGAGCCGGGCATGGTGTCCGTTGGATACATAGTCTTGTGCGTTTTTTTATTGTCTCGCCTTGACGGAGTCAAAAAGCGAAACATAGGTATGCTGTTTCTGGCGTCGACAACAGAGGCGGCGGCTTCAACAATGTATTAGTTTGTGATTAGGTCTAGTTCATGGTGAACCTATAGTGGTAGGTCAATGATATTTGGTATGCAGTTGTATTAACATTGGCACATCTCATTACCATGGAGATTATTTGGCCCCACCCCCTCAGTCAAGGTCTATTGACTTTGAAACTTTGCTTAGTTTACATGTATTAGTTTGTGATTAGGTCAGTTTATGGGGAACCACTAGTGGTAGGTCAATGATATTTGGTATGCAATTGTATAGGCATTGGCACATCTCATTACCATGGAGATTATTTTGCCCCGCCCCTTCAGTCAAGGTCTATTGACTTTGAAACTTTGCTAAGTTTACATGTATTAGTTTGTGATAAGGTCAGTTTATGGGGAACCACTAGTGGTAGGTCAATGATATTTGGTATGCAGTTGTATAAGCATTGGCAAATCTCATTTCCATAGAGATTATTTGGCCCCGCCCCCTCATTCATGGTCTATTGACTTTGAAACTTTTGCTTAGTTTTCATGTATTAGTTTGTGATTAGGTCAGTTTAAGGGGAACTGTTAGTGGTAGGTCAATGATAATTGGTATGCAGTTGTATAAGCATTTGCACATCTCATTTCCATGGAGAATATTTGGTCCTTACCCCTTAGTCATGGTTTATTGACTTTGAAACTTTTGCTTAGTTTACATGTATTAGTTTGTGATTAGGTCAGTTTAAGATGAGCCACTAATGTTAAGTCAATGATATTCAGTTTCATTTCCATGGAGATTATATAACCCCACCCCCTAATTATGGTTCATTGACTTTTAAATAGTTTACAAGTTACTGTTTGTGTTTAGGTTTGTTTAAAGGGAGCAACTTATGAAAAGTCAATGGTATTTGGTTTGCAGTTGTATTAGCATTGGCACATCTCATTTCCATGGAGATTGTTTAGCCCTGTACCTTCAGTCATGGTTCATTGACTTTGAATATTTGCATAACTTACATGTTAAAGTATTGCTATTTTAATTTCAACATTTGCATTATCAAAATAACAAATAGGCGAGACATATCTCTGTGTTAACAGTTTATATGAAATTAAAATGATGTTTAATAGGGACATTTATATCTTTTTATTATATTCTATTCCAGATTGCCAACACCTTCATTAATGGACGGTATATAATTATGATGATGGGAGCATTTTCAATATATACAGGATTTATATATAATGACATTTTCTCTAAGTCTTTGAACCTGTTTGGATCCTCATGGTACCCATATTACAAGTAAGTACCTTGTCTACAATGATCTTAGAGAACTGTAAGTATCTTTGACAGCAACATGTTTTTCAAGAAAAGTAATGAAATATCATTTTTAATCGTTTGTTGTCTTGAGAAAAATTGCATTGACATGGAGGGCACTTTAAATGTCTCCTACATTCTTATCATTTGAGACAGTGTAGACATTTAACTTAGACAAAAAACTTATTTTGTATGATATAAATGAATTGTGAAACAATATCACATGAAGATCTATATTTTAAATTGTTTATCAAACTATATGAAAGACATATCTTTTATATCTTTGTAGGAATACAACATTTGTTGTTCAGAAGTCCTTTGTTTTGGACCCTGGAACTATGTATGATACTGAGAAAGGACCATATCCACTTGGTTTAGATCCTGTAAGTTATATTGATAAGGAAATGATGAATGTTCAATCAAACATATATCTCACAATGATATGACCGTTTGCCTGAAAGGAGGCACAAAGTGATCATCAATCATCAGGGGTTAAAAAATCCACTAGCCCGACGCCGGGGACTAAAACATTTACGACTCGGGCAATCAAAACTTGTCATCAATATGCCCGATGGACTAGTAAAAGAAAGTTATTGACGTTACCAAAATAGATACAGAAAATCCCTTCCTCACTATTTTTATCTTAGCCAATCAGATTCAATTACTTCATCCAGGATACCAGGAATTTGAACTGATGTTTTACATGTTTTAAAAATAGAACGAATAACTGGGTGGACCGGTATCATGTATCATGTATTGATCGCAATTCCTGTACTTTCATTATCGATTTCTCAATACTTGGGGTATTGTACATTGCTCAAGCCGAGACTTTCAATTAACGGAATACTGGGAGGTGTGATGCATTGATTGATGTGACCTGTTACTTAGTAAAAATGATTGAGCCTTTCAGAAATACATATTAAAATAAAATTCTAATGATAAATTAAAAAAAAGTTTAAAAAAAAATTTAGTAGAAAATTCGACAGAACCACGTTGTTGAAAATAGTACACGTGTGCACATATGCGCAGGTGTGAGATTTAATTTTGCATCCGAATTCTTCAAAAATGCTAACAATATCATTGATACCTTTATCTAACGTTCATTTCAAGAAGAAATAGCGTGGAAAGAATTACCTAAACTGAATTGTGCTTTGAAAGCTTTTAAAAAGAAAGTACAGTTCTGGCAGCGTGATATTGCATTAATAAAGAGTCTAAGGCAGATTTTAGTACATTAATTTTGAAAATTTTGTATGATTCACTGTCAATTTAACAGTTTACATCAGAACATCAAAATTATGTCAAAAGTCTTCTAGAGTTTAATATTGTTTTTATGTCAATCATTCAGGCATTGTGATGATGCCAACATTTTAACAATGATTGCCTTTGTTACTAAGTCTGAATCAGAAGAAAATGTCCAGCTGACTCAAATATTTGTTGGGAGCCTGGGCTAGCAGTTCTATCAACAGGACTAGTAAAATCCTGATATCAATAAGTCCTGGGCTAGTGAGCTGTAACAAATTTTTAACCCCTGATCATCATCCAATACATATATCTCACAATGATATGACCATTTGCCCAAAAGAAGACATAAAGTGATCATCAATCATCATTCAGTACATATGTTATTTTTATCCTTCTATTTGACCTTGTTGCGTTTAGCTTTTTTAATTTCCAACAATTGTCTTTGATTTTAAATAAAACTTGTTTTGGCTTAAACACAGACCTGGATGAGTTAACAGTCATTTTATGATTGCTGTTTGCTCAACATAGAAGCAAATAACAAGAGACTTTATTTTTTCATACCTACAAATTCTAATTGATTAAAAATGTCCAGAAAAACCTAAATGTGGGGCTTGTTTATGTTCTCATAGAGAAGGTTTGGCAAGAACAAATACTTTCCAGTCAGTAGCATTCATGTAAAGGAAAGAAAAACAGAATATATAATAAATGTTATTCTTTTTTAGATTTGGAATGCAGCAACAAATAAGATTACATATACTAATTCATTTAAAATGAAACTGTCAGTGATTCTGGGTATATCACAGATGACTCTAGGTGTTCTACTTAGTCTTGTCAACCATATGTAAGTACAATAACATACCCAATTCACCAATTTTCAGTTCACAGATTTTGCTACGTCTGACATCATTTTTGCTCCGTAAAGTCAAATAATTTCTGTTGTGATGCCAAAAAAATGTTTCTTTTCTTTCAATGACAGACAAACTTGAGATTAGTATATTTAACTATCCAGGATGTCAGTACCCTGTTACTACTATTTGTGATGCATCTTAATATTGTCATTCTTGGTAAACGTTAAGTTTTGTTGCATAGTCCATTTCAGGGATCACCACAGAATTTATTTTAAGGGTGGTGTTCACGAAAAAAAATTATATTGAAATTACAATCACACAAGATCTTTATTGTAGATCATAATCTGTTAATTAGGAAAAAGATAAACAAATTAAAGCCATTGTAAAAAAAATTGTAATTAAGGCATGAATTTATACTTTTGAAGTAAAAAATGTCAAAAATTTTACCTTTTCATCACATTTTTCAAAAATTCAAGGATGGTGTAGTTGCCGTGTTAATATTTCTTTCCGCGATATCCAACCAGAGACATATGTCTCTGATCCAACTTATCTACGTGGGGGGTCATTTAGCTCCAAGTAGATCTGGAAAATGTTGATTCTCTCCTCTTCTTATTGTGGTATAAAATGTTTTTTGTCTCATTTCATTTACATTGGGAAATAGAGAAACGATCATTGTGTTTTGTTAGTTTTAAAAACTTTTGATATATTTGTATTTTACATTATAAGCAGTCAACCGATTGACAAACTAGAATTATTTGAATTCCGTGTGGAAAGAGGTCAGGTTAATTTCGAGTGTTATCTGCAATCTAGATGTTTATAAAATCATTTCAGTCGTTGATATAATAATTAAAGGTCGACTGAACATGAATTATATTATACAATTTAAAGCGCATTTCTGTTTATGCACGCGAACCCGTCTAACGTTATTGTTATTTCGCAGTTATATAAAGTAGCAAATTATCGTTCCTGAATAGGTGGCGCCGTGGTAGCCGATCCTGTACTTCAACTTCCGGTTTCTGCACTGTGCAACTATTACAGTTGCATTTTTAATTAACGATGCCAAGTACTTGTTGTTGTGTACCTGGATGTCATTTAAGAGGAGGACATGCATTTCCAAATGACTTAAAAAGAAGGAAAAGTTGGATCAACGCCATGGCCCATACGCAGATTGGACGAGAACACGATGAAATCGTGGAGTCCATCTCAATCAGCTGTTGTTTGCAAGGCACATTTTACTGAAAAAGACTACGTGCAGGAAACTATTCATGGTAAAACTGTATTTTATTTTTAAAATATATAGTTATATATGTAATCGCCATGCAAATAAACCAAAGTCAGTTTACAACCGCAATTATCGTTTTAGAATAAAAGGGGGTGGTTAATTCAAGACGTCATAATTTTTTGAATTACGATTCAATGTGATCTGTTTGAGATTTTTTGGTGCTTGCTACAATTATAATGATTTCTTACAAGAGGTATATCATACTTAGAATTATTTTAGCAGTAATTATGCTTATGTAGTAATGACAGGAATGCATAAGCTATGCCTCATAGACTTTCTTGAAAAATATCAATGACAATGTTAACAGGAACAAAACAATGACATGCTCTCATCTATATTAAACTTATTTAGGTACAAACAATGTATGTTTGTTGCATACGTCTCTCATTGTTTGTACTTTGGATTTACATAACATACATTTTGATGTACATTGAATCAGGCTAACATAGTTTTATCCAGATTGTAATGAATAAATCTAGTTAATATTTTGCCAGGTTACGAGTACAAAGGAATTATAGTTATCTCGTACCATTGTAACTCGTACCACTAAACAAAAACTCGTTCCAATGCAAACTCATACCACTGCTAACTCGTACCACGGTAAATTCATACCATTGTAAACTCGTACCAACTTATTTAAATGCATTCAAATGGTGTTTAATGATGAATATATACTTTAATTTCACTCAATACCTCTTAAGTCTGTAAAATGTATATAATTTGAAATAACAATAACCAATTTGTAGCTAATTTTCCTTGTCTAATTGGATAGAGAAAACCGTGGCAGATTGGCTTTGTTGTCTCCCTTGAATAGACTCTTTTTTAACTTTTACTGACAACTATTTGATTTAATTTTTAATCATTCCAAATCAGTAACATTGAATAGATTTGGGTATTTTTCTATTGTTTCTAAAAGGAATTTTATTTAATGAAAGAATTTATTGATTGTGTTTTTAAGGTTTAAAATTGTTTATGACCAACAGTTAGAAAGTATGAAATTTATTTTTATACAATATTCAGCACATTTCAGCAGAATATGACCATGCTTATATGATTATACAAGTTGATTAGTTAAAGATAAAAAAAAACAAGTTGATTAGTTAATAAGCAACCAATAATCACACAATCAAAGGAATTTAATATATTTATTAGCATGGTAATTAAGAAATTACATTTGTATTTTTGTCTAAGTTTTCATTAAAATCTGGTATAAATTTCAAAGATATTTTAATTTTTTGTATAAAGCTTTAAAAAAAATAATCATAAAACATTTGTATTTTTGTCTAAGTTTTCATTAAAATCTAGTATAAAATTCAAGTAATTCAACTTTTTTTATTTAGTTTACCAAAAAAAAAATCATAAAACTTTCGTATTTTTGAATATATTTTTAATGGTACAAGTTTGCAGTGGTACGAGTTCTGATTGGTACGACTTCCCAGTGGTACGAGTTTACGTTGGTACGAGTTTACAATGGTACGAGTTAACTTGCTTCTGTACAAAGTATGCATTGCTAATGGAAGTTCATTTAATTATCAAAAAACTAATGTTTTATAACCTTTTTCAGGGCACAAACCCACCATACAGAGACTTAAGTCTACTGCCAATCCCAGCCTATTTTCCTGGACCAAGCAAGAGACTGAATCGTCCGCAAAAAGAAAAATCAGGGCAGTTTCCTGTGAAAACAAAAGAACTAAACTTGATGAATATTGTAGTAGAAATCTAGAGGAAAGTTTGATTGTAAAGTTGGTTTTCCTGAAGAAGTAATTCATACTGCAGACAGGATTTATGACTGTCCACCACCAACTGCCGAGCTAATGTTGAGCTTCACAGATGGAATTACGCAAACACCATCAATGCCTATATTTTCAGCAGAGAATTTTGAAATGAAGACACGTGACACAGCCATGCATTTTTATACCGGTTTAGAGTTTTATACTAAATTTTTATTTGTTTTGACCACACTTGGTCCAACAGCACATTGTTTGAGATACATATATGTTCAGATTGATAGGGTGTCATTTGAAAATCAGTTTTTTTATGACTTTGATGAAATTGATGCATTATACAACCAACTTTGAACTGTCTAGATTCTAGATTGAAACTAGTGTTAAGAATATTGTGTAAACATGGATTGTTTTTATGTCTAAACAGTGGCGTGAGGCTAACACTTGGCCATTTAGTGGTTTAGTCAGGTATTTTTCGCCATCCAACTTAGAATTAAAGTTTCCTACAACTTGGATTATTATTGACAGCACAGAATATCCCGTGATAAAACGTAAAGCTCCTAGAGCTCAGGCAACCTTTTCATCATATAAAAACAGAAACACTGAAAATACTTGTATGTTCGACACCTGGTGGTTTAGTCAACTATGTCTCTAATGCATATGTTGGTTGTACCAGTGACTGTGAAATAGTTGAAAGATGTAGAATAGTTCAATTATGTGATCCAGGTGACAGTGTGATGGCAGACAAAGGTTTAAATGTGCAAGATTTGTTTGCTCACTTTTTTCAAAAAAAGAAACAGAATTAGTTCCAAAACTCTTATACGGGATAGAAAAGTCTCCAATTAACACGTGCACATAGAGCTAATTATTGGACTCGGCAAAACATACAAAATTCTAATAAATCCTATGAATGGAACTGAAACAAAACTTTCATCTGAAATAACATTTAGTTGTTTTATGTTGTGTAATTTTAGAACTTGTATTGTGCCAAAGGATGCATAAATAAAAGTGACGCAATGAAGTTTGTTCTGATATATATATATAAATATTATTTACAATTACATGCACATGTAAATTGTAATGCATATAAAAATAAGGAGATGTGGTATGATATTCAGTGAGTTTATCGAACCAAAGTGCATAAGAAATGGGTTAAGCAGTTACAGGTGTTACTGTCACCATACAATCTCCAACAATTAGAAAAACTTGTACCGTGTAAAAAATTTCAGAGATCTTACAACTAAGTTTTGTTGTCTCACCTTGACTTTGGTGAATTGTTTATATCTGTTGATGTAAATATAAAAAAGAAGATGTGGTATGATTGCCAATGAGACAACTCTCCACAAGAGACCAAATGACACAGAAATTAACAGCTATAGGTCACAGTACGGCCTTCAACAATGAGCAAAGCCCATACCGCACAGTGAGCTATAAAAGGCCCCGAAATGACAATATAAAACAATTCAAACAAGAAAACTAACGGCCTAATTTATGTACAAAAAATGAACGAATAACAAATATGCAACACATAAACAAACGACAACCACTGAATTACAGGCTCCTGACTTGGGACAGGCACATACATGTACATACAGAATGTGGCGGGGTTTAACATGTTTGCTGGATCCCAACCCACCCCCTAACCTGGGACAGTGGTGTAACAGTACAATATAAGAGCGAACTATAAAAATCAGTTGAAAGAGGCTTAACTCATCAGATGGATAAATACAAATACAAGTGGACGTGGCCGGGTAGTTGTACATCCAAACAACAAAAAGACACTAAGTACAGATCTGAGAGTACTCGCATTTACTGACAGCTAGTTCAAAGCCACAAACAACTGATAAAAAAATCTTGCATCTAAGACTAAATTATCAATCCGTAAGCTCCCTTTAGAATTTTAGAAATTTTAGATTTTACATTTCTGAGTTATGGGGTTTTATTCATTAAAAAGGGGTGGATTTTCCAGTTTTTGGACAACTCAAAAATGCTTTAAGCAGTTCGCATGAAACTTTGGTGAATTATTTATAGCTATTGATGTAATCTCCCTATTGATTTTCATAAATTTCAAATATGGCATTGAGAAGAAATTGAACTTTATTTGTTTATAGTCTGGCAACAGATTTATTAAGTATTGCGCAACAGCACAGTGTATTGCACAACAGCAAGAAATCTTTAATTGAATATAAATTCAATTCATATAACCGATTTCAAGTTCTTTGACTACATTTATTCAGAAACTATAATATGTCAAATATTTAATTACAATCCAAATACAGACCTGTATCAAGCTTGAATATTGTGTCCATTTTTGCCCCAACTGTTCAGGGTTGGACCTCTGTGGATGTATCCAGCTGCGCTCAGCGAATCAGTTTATTACTTAATTAAGAACTCCTTTTTGTCGAGCCTTTGACTTTTGTCGCAGAAAGCTCGACATAGGGATAGTGATCCGGCGGCGGCGTTAGCTAACTTCTTAAAAGCTTTATATTTTAGAAGGTGGAAGGTCTGGATGCTTCATACTTTGTATATGGATGCCTCATGTTACGAAGTTTCCGTCAGTCACATGTCCAATGTCCTTGACCTCATTTTCATGGTTCAGTGACTACTTGAAAAAAAAGTTAAGATTTTTTGTAATGTTGAATTCTCTCTTATTATAAGTAATAGGATAACTATATTTGGTATGTGCATACCTTGCAAGGTCCTCATGCCCGTCAGACAGTTTTCACTTGACCTCGACCTCATTTCATGGATCAGTGAACAAGGTTAAGTTTTGGTGGTCAAGTCCATATCTCAGATACTATAAGCAATAGGTCTAGTATATTCGGTGTATGGAAGGACTGTAAGGTGTACATGTCCAACTGGCAGGTGTCATCTGATCTTGACCTCATTTTCATGGTTCAGTGGTTATAGTTAAGTTTTTGTGTTTTGGTCTGTTTTTCTTATACTGTATGCAATAGGTCTACTATATTTGGTGTATGGAATGATTGTAAGGTGTACATGTCTAGCTGGCAGGTGTCATCTGACCTTGACCTCATTTTCACGGTTCAGTGGTCAAAGTTAAGTTTTTGAGTTTTGTCTTTTTTTCTAATACTATATGCAATAGTTCAACTATATTTGGTGTATGGAAATATTTTATGATCTATATGTCAGTCACGCAGGTTTTTTTTTACCTTGACCTCATTTTCAAGGTTCATTGCTCAGTTTTAAGTTTTTGTGTTTTGGTCTGTTTTTCTTAAACTATAAGCAATAGGTCAACTATATTTGTTGTATGGAAGAATTGTTAGCTGTACATGCCTGCCTAGCATGGTTCATCTGACCTTGACCTCATTTTCTTGGTTCATTGGTCAATGTTTAGTTTACTTGGTTAATGTTAAGTTTATGTGACAGTTGTAATAAAGCTTTATATTTAGGACTATCAACATAATATCAATGATTAGTAAAGAAGGCGAGACATTTCAGCGTGTGCACTCTTGTTTCATTCATAAATTACTTTATACTTGGAAATATAATTTTGCTTGGAGTTATAGTTTCTAAAAAAAGTATTGTCATTGAAAGAGTTGACATGTTGCAATGTACATTTATTCTACATAGTTCTATGGTACCAAATCAAAAGTTTATATTAAAGAAAGAAGTCAAAGGTTTCCCATCATAGTTTAGTTACATACATTTTTTTTTGTACCTGAGGTCGTTGAATATAGATCATTATATAAATAAGGAGATGTGTTATGATTGCCAATGAAACAACTATCATCCATACATTGTACTTACCAGTAACAAACCACATTTGCAAAGTTGAATAAAATACAGTTGATAACATTTACTTATTACTTAAAAGAAAATGCCAAACTATTTTAAACAGTATTTGACTATAAACATAGATAAAAAAGGTACAAACTGGACATAATGCACTAGTTCATAAACAAGTGAGAACAATCGCCTTCATATAGTGCTCAGAATATGACATTCATAAAACTTGTTCAATATCATTAGAGAACTCTAAATCTTAAATACTGAAAGCCACCTCTGATAAGTACAATGTACTATGCAAGATAATGATATAACTGGACTAAAAATACACACAACCTGTAATTAACTGCCTTTACAGTGCTTTCGCGCTTTGATTTATGTATTGGAGGACCAACATATTTTCAGCATTTTTGGTAGTCAAAATAATTATGACGTCTTGAAAGGACGACGTCACAGCAAAAAATTAAAATAGCCTTTCAAGATGTCATAATTATTTGGACTACATTTTTGGATACTTTTTAGTCATGATAAATCTTTTGTTACAGATATTTCAAACGAACTTTAGAAGCTTTAGTAGAATTCATTCCAGCATTGCTGTTTTTACTGTGCTTGTTTGGATACTTGGTTGGACTAGTGTTCTACAAATGGTTCTTGTTTAATCAGAAATGTACACAGTGTGCTCCTTCCTTATTGATACGTAAGTTTATTTCAATCTAAAGTAAATATTATATGTTATTCACTATTCAGAATCTTTAGAGGGATTATGAGCCCATATCCCATGTGACTAAACCTGATTAATAATTATAATAAACTGAAGTGTCCTGATTTCAATATTAGTTACCACTCTGATCTTCGTTTTTGTTCACACAATATATATGGGCTCATTTACCCTGTCACGGTAACCAATCAAATTCCAAAAATAGCCAGTATAATATAATGACTTGATGATGCTGAGTGATAAAGAATAGGGTTGGTCGGATTATGAAAAACACACTTTAATGTTTTTGGCCTGATTGGATGAGTTTTGTAAATCAAAGGTATTGTGTGGTACTAATAAATGAGACAAGAACACAAACAAATGCAGATATCTAGAATCACCATATGGGTTTCATTAATAGACAAGGGTGTATATTAAATGTCAAATTCTAAATTGCCTGGAGTTGGGATAATTTAGCAGAAACTGCCAGAGATCTTCAATCAACAAAATAAGAGCAAATGGTTTAGACACAAGTAAATCATACTTATGAAGTCTTCTCCATAATACAATATAAATATATACAATAATAGTATAATGAACATGCATGTAAAGCAAACAGTTTATAGAATATGATACAAGCTAGAGGTAAACGAGAAGAGGGAGAGAAAAAAAAAGAAAGAAAGATTGAAAAGTCAAATAATTCTGTGATGATGACGTGGGTGTTGATGATGATGTCGATATTTCGTTAATAATTAAATCTCTTCATTTAAGTCTTCCAATAAAAAAAATTTACATATTTTATTTGAAGATTTGAATGTTGGTTTCTGAATAATGAAATAAAGACTTTCAAAATCTGAAGTAGTTTTAAGACTATAAAATAACTAGCTTTCACCAGTTTTAAAACATCTGGAACAATTATTTGAAAGATTCTACATTAAGTTTTGCATAGTTGATGCAACTCAGGATTAGTATACCCATTTAGGAAAACTAAACAATAGATTTGCTTTTGCTCTGAAAGTTAAAATGAAAAAAAAGTTATAGTTTGGTTGATTTAAGTATGACTAAGCTCTCAAGATGTACTGGCTGAACTTAAACAAATTGAAACAGTTTATTATGTATATTAAAGAAAGTAATGTAAAGAAAATGGTTACATGAAATGAGGTCAAAGGTCAGAAGGCTTATACATATATTTGTCAAATATTTTTGAAAACACATTTTAAATTTATCTAGATTTTATCAACATGTTTTTGATGAAGTATCAGCCAGTAGGAAATTTACCAGGGACCAATACAACTACTTTTGAATGTAGAGAATATCCTAAAGATTTGGAGAAGCTACCATGTTCTTCACAGACTGTGTTCTTTGATAACCAGGTTTGTACATCCCTCAGCTTGACCAGCTACCATGTTCTTCACAGACTGTGTTCTTTGATAACCAGGTTTGTACATCCCTCAGCTTGACCAGCTACCATGTTCTTCACAGACTGTGTTCTTTGATAACCAGGTTTGTACATCCCTCAGCTTGACCAGCTACCATGTTCTTCACAGACTGTGTTCTTTGATAACCAGGTTTGTACATCCCTCAGCTTGACCAGCTACCATGTTCTTCACAGACTGTGTTCTTTGATAACCAGGTTTGTACATCCCTCAGCTTGACCAGCTACCATGTTCTTCACAGACTGTGTTCTTTGATAACCAGGTTTGTACATCCCTCAGCTTGACCAGCTACCATGTTCTTCACAGACTGTGTTCTTTGATAACCAGGTTTGTACATCCCTCAGCTTGACCAGCTACCATGTTCTTCACAGACTGTGTTCTTTGATAACCAGGTTTGTACATCCCTCAGCTTGACCAGCTACCATGTTCTTCACAGATTGTGTTCTTTGATAACCAGGTTTGTACATTCCTCAGCTTGACCAGCTACCATGTTCTTCACAGACTGTGTTCTTTGATAACCAGGTTTGTACATCCCTCAGCTTGACCAGCTACCATGTTCTTCACAGACTGTGTTCTTTGATAACCAGGTTTGTACATCCCTCAGATTGACCAGCTACCATGTTCTTCACAGACTGTGTTCTTTGATAACCAGGTTTGTACATCCCTCAGCTTGATCAGCTACCATGTTCTTCACAGACTGTGTTCTTTGATAACCAGGTTTGTACATCCCTCAGCTTCACCAGCTACCATGTTCTTCACAGACTGTGTTCTTTGATAACCAGGTTTGTACATCCCTCAGCTTGATCAGCTACCATGTTCTTCACAGACTGTGTTCTTTGATAACCAGGTTTGTACATCCCTCAGCTTGACCAGCTATGAAAATCAGATTCCAGTTTATTATGCCCCCGCCACTAGGCGAAGGGGGCATTAAGTGTTACCCTTGTCCGTCTGTACGTCCCAAAATTTGTTTCCCTTCTCTAACTTTAGTTTGATTCAACCAAATGATATGAAACTTATACACAATGTTTATTACCATAAAACACAGATCAATTTTCGATTTGGGTGGTGTCACTTTTACAGTTCTCTAGTTATGTCCCTTTATAACGTTATATGCAAGCGGGGGCGTCATCTGTGTCCCATGGACACATTCTCTATTTATATTACATGTTGTTTTTGACAGCTTAAACATTGACTAATTCATTGAGGTCTTATCCAATAAAACAAAAGAACAATTGATAGAAGACAATCAAATTTTCTATTTGGTTCTGATGTCATTATGTTATTGTTAAAATGTATCATGTCTTTAGACATCTGGTTAACATATTGCAGTGGAACAGTCGTGATCACTTATCTTTTTTTCTGAGTTTTAGTGAGGATCACATGTTCTCCGTTTCTCATTCGTCAAAATTTAATTATGGCATCAAATTTTCTTGTTGACCTAAAATTTTGATAGTGTGACAACATAAATAAAGGCGACCAAGTCTGACATTGTTTCACACAGAGAACCCAGTTGTTAGCGGATCATTGAAAAAAAACCTCCAAGTTTCCCAAATTATTGTCAAAAAATTATTTTAGGAACCAATTCCACCACTCTCTCTCTCATAAATGTAAAGATTAAACTTAATGCCAAAACTTAATTCATTAAAAAATCTGTTTTTGTCTCGCCTGAGACAGCTAGACATAGGGATAGCTTTTCTGACTACGACATCGTCAACAATTGTTTAGTTGTCTGCTTAAGTTAGTTTGATAGGAACTGCTTGTGATAGATCATTGATATTTAATATAAAGTTGCATTACCATCAGTACATATCAGTTTGATGACTATTTTGAGGCCCTGCCCCCTATGTCATGGTCCAGTGACTTTGAATAAATTAGCAATTTTCAATGTTAAGTTTTCTGCTTAAGTTAGTTTGATAGGATCTACTTGTGATAGATCAATGATGTTTTGTATGAAGTCACATTACTATCAGTTCATATCAGTTTGACCACAATTTTGAGTCCCTGCTCCTAGGACATGGTCCAGTGACTGAATTAATTAGCAATTTTCAATGTTAAGTTTTCTGCTTAAGTTAGATTAATAGAAACTTACTAACAATAGACAACGATATTTTCTATAAAGTTACATTACTGTCTGTACATCTCAGTTTGTCAGCCATTTTCAGGCCCTGCCTGCTAGATCATTGTCATTTTCTGATTTTATGATATAACAAAAATATGTATATAAACAAGCATTCTATGAGTATTGCATGGCAATACATAGTCCCCTACTGGTTACAAATTCATTGTAATGGAATGAAATTCTAACTTGATCTATAACTTGTCATGGTGTAAACTACATAAAAATATCAAGTTAAAATCTTCAAGCATGACGAAAAAAACTGTTGAAAACTGATTATTTAAGTGAATTTTCTATGTCCAAAGACCATAACTCTGAAGAAAATTATCAGACTAGAACAAATTTCCAACTTGATCTGTAACTTGTCATGATAAAACTATATACTAATTATCAAATCAATATCTTCATGAATGACAAACAAACCTACCACTAAATTCTTCAAACAATTTACCAAAGAAAAGGACAAAAATCCAAAATGTCATTTTGTCTTTTAAAAATCTTTTAAGAAATGAGTTATTTCCCTTTGAACAGAAATCTACTAATTAAAAAGAACTTCATCAAAAATTTAATTCTAGGGAAAGGGCTTTAACTGAACAAAGAGAAAAGCTAAAATCGTGGAATTGAACTTAACCTGTAACTTGTCATGAAAAATCAATAAACCAAATATCAAATCAATATCTTCAAGCACGAAGAAAAAAAGTCTGGAAAACTGATTTGCTGGACTGACAGATGGACAGACAGACAGACGGACTGCAAACCTAAAGTCCCCTTCGACTTCGTCGGTAGGGGACTGAAAAAAATTAGTGATACTTATTTTATGGCATTTGACAGATACATAATACATTGAAATTAAATTTCTCTTTAATTAGTACATGTACTGTAAATATTGAAATTTCCTCAAGAGTTTTATTTTTTATTAATTTCGCTATTAAGATAATGATGGCTATGATGTATTTATTTTACATAATTAAGTTACATTCTATTATTCATATGAATATTGGAATCATAGTTGCTTATTTGTATAAAATGTTTAAAGCATGTGTGTTTGTTTTGTAGCAAATGATCCAAACTATTTTACTAGTAGCAGGTGTGCTTATGGCTCCAATAATGCTGTGTGTAAAACCTTTTGTCCTGAGGTCTCAACACAACACTAAAGAAAGAGTTAGTATACAATAGAAAGTTTTTAAATTGTTTTTGTGATTGATTCTCTTGAAATGAATAATGTTAAACTTTATTTTCAGGTCTCATCTAGTCATATATATGTACAATGTACATTTGTCCCTTTAGCTTTTGTTTACTGTTTCTGGCCTGTCCAATGCTTTGCTTGTTGTTTCATTTAGGGTTTGACATTGTTTTCTTAAAATATTTAAGATTTAATAGAAAAAAATTATATACATTAATTAAAATTAAACTGATTCCTTTTATATATATTTTTAATTGATGAAAGTAAGCTGTCATTTGGTGTAATTATCTTTTGGTGTTTAATATTTTGGAATAATGGAGAATTATTCATTAAACTTTTTAATTGTCTTAGAACATTGAAACATCAGTATATTTTCTCCTACTCGACATTTTACAATAATATAATTGTGATGTTTCTTCATTATGACTAGTGATGGATTAACCTCTTAACAAAGCTTTTGTTTGAATTTAAAAAACTTAAAAAAAGATTATTTGATATGCATTTGATTTCATGAAACATGAATAAAAGCTTTTAAATGTAAAGAAATAACATAATTGGCAGAAATGTGATAAAATGGTTTCTAGTCTTTATTTTGATAAAGCAAAGATTTTTGGTTGATGTACTTGAGACAAACTCTTATGAAATACTAGGAAATAATTTACATATCTATAAAGGAACAAATGTTTTATTACAGTTTTTCATCTTAACATTTGCTAAAGTCTTCAACAATAATTTTTTAAAAGTTGAGTACTATAAGAGTGTCTCGCCACAGATTTTGTATATGCCGTTAACTTCGGCATGTTAAACTTGAAAAAAAAAAATAATGCATTTATTTTTTTTTATTTTTTGAAATAAAATTAATGGATATCTTTTGAAATAGAAATATGATAGATATAAGAAGATGTGGTATGAGTGCCAATGAGACAACTCTCCATCCAAGTCAAAATTTATAAAAGTAAACCATTATAGGTCAAAGTACAGTCTTCAACACGGAGCCTTGGCTCACAAGCTTATTTACTTCATTAAACAAAAAAATTATCTGGCATCAAAAATCTATGAACTGGGTGTTGACAAAGAAGATTTACTCATTTTAAAGATTTTTATTCAATAATAGTTTAGCAAGTATAACAGTTAAATGAATTAATTTTTCAAATTACAGGTAAGAGTTCAACATATCCAAGTAGTTTACAAAATTTCACAAAAATCTGTTGAATAGCCCATTTATTGTTCATTGACCTTATACATATTGTAACTTTCATTTTTAACTGAAAGAAGGAAAGTTTGTGGAGTTAATCTTTTTAAAGTTATGTGGAGAATTTGAAAAATTTGGGCAAAATTTTCTGTATGATTAAGTGTAAAAGCCAATCTTATGTAAGACCTTAATGAACTCATTATAGAAACCAGGATTAAAATGTGTACGCAGAAGCACATTTCGTCTGCAAATTTTGTTTGACGCTTAAATCCAAAAAGTTAAAATTTGAAACAAATTCTTACATTTTATGTTTTTAATATCATGTTGAATTTTTTGAATAATGATGAAACACCTATCAAAAATTACTAAAATCTTTTATAAGAAAAGCAATAATGAATTATTTGGCTTCTAAAAGATTATTTTGTATACAAAAAAGTGGCATAATTGCAAAGACAGCTACATTTTAAAACTTCATTATTATTTTAACTGTTCATGGCAATGCTATTTTAGGACATGGAAAAAGTAAGTATAAGCTGCTGAGCTAAATTCAATATATATATTCATTTTAATTTCTACGGAAATGATGTAACACAAGTTGTTATGTCTGAAAGTCTGAGATCTTAAGAAAGTGATGTGGACTTTTTTGTTTTATAATTTAGCTTGCTAACTAATGTATTCAGTTCTTGCAGTGCAGTATAGGTATTCATATACATTTGTCTTTGTCTTGATACATGATCGGGGAAATCCCATCGTTTATAGGTATATAGGTAAAAATGAATTAAAAGATTGATAGTACCAAAAAAAAAAACCTAGATTGTAGTAACTTTCTGTATAAAAGTGACTGGTTATGCATTTGATAATGGACATGGAGCTTGGAGAGAACTTTATTGAAAATAAAAAGAATAAGCTGTCAGTGTTAATCTTTGAAGAAATAACATAGGTGTGTAAATATTATTTTCTTGTGGAAGTGAGTATTTTTTGTGGGAAGCTAATTTTCATTGATCTTATTGTGAAAGATCCAAGGTGATAATTCACCCTTAGGACACATTATTTTGATTCTGAGCCAGCTTGTGTTTTCATGCTTGGCAGAGAAGCAACAAGTACTAGTTTAAGCATGTTTGGTTAAACGAAGCCCAGTTTGAAACACATGACCTCCAACACAGAAAGTGAACAATTTTTTTTTAACTACTGCAGAAGTTCCTTAAATGGTTGATTCAGTTCTCAAAAATATACAGATTTTATTGGTAATGGTTTTTTTTCGCATTTAGCTAAACAATAATCTACATTATATACATTTCTAGAAACACATGTTGCTATGCCATATATTTTTCTACTGAAGTCTTCATTCAGTAAATCAATATTGGATATCAATAATGAAGTTAATTGCTAGTCAACTAGTTACCTTCCTTGATAGCTTAGTTTGTGATGCACAACAGATAGAAATTAGTAGTTCCTGTTTTAAGAAAATACAGTATGACTTACAGCAATTTTCTTAAATGATATTATAAAATCTTTATCTAGTTTGTGACATTTAAATATATCAGTTGCATGTAAGGCCATGAGCAAAATTGTTATGTTTATAACATCTGCATCTTTGAAATTCTTGCACATTGACAATCTTTTTTAAACATTTTCCAAATAAAGTTGCTTGTTTAGTTTGAAAATCAGAAAAGAACTACCTAAAGCATCAGATTTGGGTCATTTTTACCATTTTCAGAGTCCATTATGATAACAATTTGAAATAATTCTGTAAGTGAACTGATAAAAATAGGTGTCTACAATCATAGAGTATTATTTTCAAAACAATCAAGGACGAAATAAGTTAAACAATTAGATATTGAAAATTATCAGCAGATCAAGATCTATCTACTATGAAAATTGAAGAAATTCAGACTACCCATTTTGTAGTTGTTGCCCCTGAAATGTCCATTTTTAGCAAATTTCACAGTTTATGGCAATTGCCGTACAAACTACAGAAAATAAAGAAACTTTCTAAAATGCTGAAATAATCTACAAGACAAGAAGTATGAATAAATTAAAATGACTGAAATTGCCTGTTGACTCCATATAGGAGTTCTTGCCCTTACTTTTTGGCAGTTATCTTGAAAAACGTTAAAGATAGGAACTGTGAACAGCAAAATAAGATCTGCATATGATTCCACCAGACTGAAATTGTCAATCAATTGCTTATAAGAGTTATGGCCCTGTAATACAATTTTTACTGTACCAATGTTTTGTGGTTTAGCTAATATATTGTGAACTATAATAAATAAAGTGAAACTGTGAACAGCTAAACTAATCATTTAGATAGTGTCCTAAAATAACTTGACCATTTTTCAACCTTCAAATATTCTTACCTGATTGGATCTGGATCTGGTTACAATCTCATTTAGTGTGGGAAAAGTGGCTGCCGCTAATGGTTTTGATATTGCTTACCCGGTATGTTTGCATTTTACCTTTCCACACGATCACTGCTTTAGGTGTTGGTTCACCATATATAATTGCATATGTTTGTCAGGTGAGCAATTTGGACACCTTGGAGCCTCTGGTTCATCAGTTATGATGGATGTCAATTCCAGACAGAAAAAAAAAGGAAGTTAGCTTGAAGTTTACTACTGGTTAACATTTTATTGGACAAAATCCTCAAGCATGAATATCTATTCTTGTCAGTAAATACCACTACATTAAATGTGCATGCTTTAATTGGTAGAGTTTTCTTATGCATGATTTTTTTATATAACTAAAATTAAACATTAGTACATTTGTACTACAAAATTCTATTTTTCATGCTGGGAGGTCTAAGAGAGATACTTCAAGATGCTAAAAAATATATTCTCTTTTCATAGTCTTGAAATGTAGATTTCTATTCATCAGTTGATAAAAGTATACTGGAATTTGACTAAGAAATAAATGTTTGTGAATGTTTCTTATTGTTTTGTTTTTTAAAGGTATTTTATGTCCATGTTTATTAAGTTTTCAAGAATTTTATTTATCTGCACCAACTCATGTGTTAAATGAACTTACTTAAAATAAGCTTATTATGTAGTCATAACATAACATTGGGGTGGAACATCAGCTTTCAGTTAGCTTTTAACATCATGCATAAATTGTCACAATAAAATTGAAAATGAATATTATATACTAATGGGTACAAGGTTAATATGATATATATCATGTATACTCTACACTGCACATATAGTTATAAAGGTTATCTAGACAATAGACCTTATCCTTTTTTGGGGGATCTGTGACACTTGACCTGAGAATTTGCGACACTTAAACTATTGACATCATACCACAATCACTTTTCATTTGTTTACATTTTCTCTTGTGACATCAATTTTTTGCGGCTATGATTTTTCAGTAAATTAAACAGTATTAACCCTTAATGAAGTATTTTTGCTGATGGGTCAGTTATGGTTTCTAGATTGAAACCCCATTCTTATTTCCTCTGTCTGTGTAGTTCACTTCTTGTTGTCCTCTTTTCTCTCACATGGTTTGTTGGTATAAGGTAAAGTTTTTATATGGGCTGGATGTCCTAGTTTAATAAATCATTTTGAAATTTATTGCCTTTGAATATTCTGACGCAGAATAAAATCTTAAACGAAAAAATCAAGAGTTGTTCCTTAAGATCATCTTTTTATTACAGAGGAAGCAAGGTTTGGGAGCTGTATCAGAAAGAGCTTTGATTCATCAGGAGGAAATTCCAGATAATGTAAGTTTCCATAACAACAGAGTAAATAAAAAATAACAACTGTAACAATTCACACCTGTACCATTGAATACTTACTTACTGTTCACTGAAATAAATTGGTTTGATACATGTATATATGAATTGATTTTAGTTGTTTGCTTTGCTTTAATTTTGGTTCTTTATTATTTTATTTTAATTAGCCAATACATTTTAATTCAAATTGTTAAAAGGTCTACATTAAGATAAGGCATGACAAAGTTCTAACATTCAGTTACTACATATGTACATGTATATATTGTGTTATTTTTCTGTCTTTGCAACTTGCAAATATCAAAAAGAAGCAGAATTGCATGGCTTAGATAATCAGCATGTTTTTCATTAACTAGTTTAAAGTATAGACAAATTATTTCATGCCTTTTTGACTTCTGTCATAACAGGTTTTAGATTTACCTTTAGTTCATTCCTTTGCTAATAATCTAAACAATTTTTGTTTGACGGAATTTTAGAATGAGGTATTTAATAGAGAGTTGCACAACATTCAACTGAACATTTATAGGTAGTGTGTAAACACTGTCCATCAATATGAAGTATGTCCTAAATTTTTGGAGACTACATTGAAACTCTGTTACTTTGTGTGTGTGTATACTCAGATATGAATACTAACTGTGTGTGTTTTCTCTAATCAGTCTTCAATGTCTGTTGACAAACCGACCAAGTCAGACATTGAACTTAAATCGGTAAGTCTATCGTGCATGCTTTATACATATATATTCCAGATTTAGTGTGACTGAGCTATGGACTCCAGTGTTTTTAGTTTTCTAAATGAATTTTTATGTCCATGGTTCAGTCAACAATACATTATTTACAGGGACTAGAATGTTTGAACCACAATGAGAAATATTTTGCAATGCCACAATGGTCAAGTAGTAATTCCTAGAACCATTTGTAGTTATCACCTTGTACTTTATTCAGAAATTAATTGCAAGAATTTATATATTTTGCTTGATTTATAATTGCAGTGCATTTAACTTGTAGATTATCCAGTTTTTGATCCCGTAAAGTGTCACTTCTATGGCTCTATTATTGTTTGTTCTCTTAAATTCCCTGGTTGAATGTAGTACTTAAACTGTTTGGCATCAAAATTCAGACATGATATCAGATGAATGTAATTTCTTGATTGAATGGTTGTTGGTGTTTGACATCAAACAGCATAGAAAGGTTATATTTAGACAATGTACATGACATGAGTGATATAAAATGAAAGGAGGGTATGGGTGGGGCGCAAAAGGAAAAACACATTTTGACTGCCTCTGGAAACATGTAGAGAGTAGGGTAGTAAAATTAAGCCACAGCATGGGCCCCAATGAGCCTGCTATTAACAAATTATGCTTGGTTGTCTTTTTTTTTACTACCTAACACTAGACAACTATTTACATCCCTCCTGAAGTAGGTGTTGCACATTTGATACGTTCCAGTCAACTTAAACTCCTTGCAAGTGGGGTTTGGAAAGGGGTACCCCTCAATTTGAGCAACTTCGTTCCATTTCTATATCTTATTATGGGATAAGGATGTTATTTTAAAGTTTTTATACATAATTTATTTGTGGGAAAATGAGTGTTACTTTGAATTTGTAATATGAAGTAAATTATTTCCTTGCTGGAATGATGTACTGATTTGCAATAAAGAACTCATAGCCCGGGAAGTAACATACTTCAATTTATAATTTTTGAGTTGGATTTTGGATTTCAAAATGAGTTTCTGTAAAGGCTATAAGGGAATTACTGTTTATTTTTTTACTTTTAGGCATGCACTAACAAATTTTTATTATTAAGTCAAAATTAAACTGTGAATTAACTATTTTCAGTAGAGTTCAAGTTGTTGATTTCTTACATATAAGATACAGTCCTTTTAGACATACTTATGGGTTGTTCAAACTCAGTGGAGATTCAAGTGTGACATCTGTGTTCCCAAACCTCAGTATAACTTTATATCATGCTCCTTTTACTGGTAGCTAGAAGGTGTAGGATGTCTTTTCAGGAATATATTTGTAGTGTTAGATATATCAATCTGCTATAATGTTTTCTTTGATTTCATGTATATAGATGTGTAATACACATAAGATTGTCATATTGATTGATTGGAGGGGAAAAGGTGCTGTTTCCACATACATTGGGAGTTGAGTTATAATATCTCTTCTACATACGGAAGCCTATGGTGAATTACAGCAAAAAACAAGCAATTAAAAAAAGAAAAATAATGAATGAAAAATGGAAATCTAAAACCTGTTTTATGTAGTAGTAATATATTCAAATAGAAATGCTAAATTGTCCCACTTGAAAATGGTTTGTAAAAATATATTGCCTTTGAAAAGGTAAATACAGTCAAACCTGTATATAAAGGTCATATTTGGGACCAGAAAATAATGACCTTATAAGAGAGGTGACCTTTGTAGCAGGTTTGACTTTATCTGATCACCCAATCAACAATAATATAAACCTGAATGACAGGTGACTTCTATAATATTTGTTGTTTATCATCTGTATTTTGTGTAAGCCCTTTTGTTTAAGGAACTAGTAGTCAGTACTTTCTTGCATGTCTTATAAGATCACTAAATTCAATACATCATGAATTAATAATTTTCCTTTATGAGTTGATATCACAAATTAAAGAACCCACAAGCCAGTCAAAGCCATGAGGATTTGAATCCATAAATGAAAGTTAAAATCTAAAGCCTGTAGTTCAGTGGTGGTTTTTCGTTCATTGTTTTGTACATAATCAGGCTGTTAGTTTTCTTGTTTGAATTGTCATTTCAAGGCCTTTTATAACTTGCTATGCAGTATGGGTTTTTGCTCATTGTTGAAGGCCATACAGTGACCTATAGTTGCTAACCTTCAATTGGTCTTTGATGGAGTTGTCTCATTGGCAATCATACCACATCTTCTTATTTTAATATTAAACAACTGGTTATATTTGATATATTTTTGATTATAGACTGGATATACAACAGAATCTGGATCTTTTCAACCAAGGATTTCAAAGGTTTGATTTCCCTGCAAAAATCTATACATATTGATTGATTCCCATGCTGATAACTTCATTGTCTCAACAGTCAGAGTATCACATTCAAGCCTTTGTTATAGAGGACGAAGTCCTCATTACAGTAGAAAAATTTTAATAAACAGGTCAAGATTAGTAATCCAAAACCTTTCTAATTTTGTGTATCCTGTAGGGAGGTTTCTCTTGATTTTTTATAACATTATCAAGGAGTATACAATTTCCAAAAAAAGTGTACCGGTATGTGATTACCAATATGTGTTAAGCCAGTAGAAAAGCTACTAATACGGACTTCGTCCTCTTTCACAGGTTCCACTTGCCTCATAATAGTTAACCTGATTATGTTCCCTACTTTTTAGCTCACCGGGGCCCAAAGGGCCCCATGTGAGCTTATGCCATCACTTGGCGTCCGTCGTAGTCGTCTGTCATCGTAAACTATTTCAAAAATCTTCTTCTCTGAAAATACTGGGCCAAATACCTTCAAACTTTAACTAAATGTTCCTTAGGGTATCTAGTTTATAAATTGTATCCAAAGTTTTGATCCATCGACAAACATGGCCACCATGGCTAAAAATAGAACATAGGGGTCAAATGCTGTTTTTGGCTTATATCTTAAAAACTAAAGCTTTTAGAGCAAATCTGATATGGGGTAAAATTGTTCAATTGGTCAAGATCTATCAGCCCTGAAATTTTCAGACGAATCAAACAACCCATTGTTGGGTTGCTGCCACTAAATTGGTAGTTTTAAGGAAATTTTGCAGTTTTTTGTTATCTTGAATATTATTATAGATAGATATAAACTGTAAACAGCAATAATGTTCAGCAAAGTAAGATCTACAAAAAAGTTAATGAGACCATACTTGTCAATTGACCCCTTAAGGAGTTATTGCCCTTTAAAGACAATTTTACACAATTTGTTCATCAAGTTTGCTAACATTTAAAAATCTTCTCCTCTGAAACTACTGGGCCAATTACCTTCAAACTTTAAATAAATGTTCCTTAGGGTATCATGTTTATAATATGTATCCGAAGTTTTGATCCATTGACAAACATGGCCGCCATGGCTAAAAATAGAACATAAGGGTCAAATGCAGTTTTTGGCTTATATCTCAAAAACTAAAGCTTTTAGAGCAAATCTGACATGGGGTAAAATTGCTGCCTCTAAATTGGTAGTTTTAACAAAATTTTGCAGTTTTTTGTTATCTTGAATATTATTATAGATAGATATAAACTGTAAACAGCAATAATGTTCAGCAAAGTAAGATCTACAAAAAAGTTAATGAGACCATACTTGTCAATTGACCCCTTAAGGAGTTATTGCCCTTTAAAGACAATTTTACACAATTTGTTCATCAAGTTTGCTAACATTTAAAAATCTTCTCCTCTGAAACTATTGGGCCAATTACCTTCAAACTTTAAATAAATGTTCCTTAGGGTATCTTGTTTATAATATGTATCCGAAGTTTTGATCCATTGACAAACATGGCCGCCATGGCTAAAAATAGAACATAAGGGTCAAATGCAGTTTTTGGCTTATATCTCAAAAACTAAAGCTTTTAGAGCAAATCTGACATGGGGTAAAATTGCTGCCACTAAATTGGTAGTTTTAACAAAATTTTGCAGTTTTTTGTTATCTTGAATATTATTATAGATAGATATAAACTGTAAACAGCAATAATGTTCAGCAAAGTAAGATCTACAAAAAAGTTAATGAGACCATACTTGTCAATTGACCCCTTAAGGAGTTATTGCCCTTTAAAGACAATTTTACACAATTTGTTCTTCAAGTTTGCTAACATTTAAAAATCTTCTCCTCTGAAACTACTGGGCCAATTACCTTCAAACTTTAAATAAATGTTCCTTAGGGTATCTTGTTTATAATATGTATCCGAAGTTTTGATCCATTGACAAACATGGCCGCCATGGCTAAAAATAGAACATAAGGGTCAAATGCAGTTTTTGGCTTATATCTCAAAAACTAAAGCTTTTAGAGCAAATCTGACATGGGGTAAAATTGTTCAATTGGTCAAGTTCTATCGGCCCTGAATTTATCAGACGATTCGAACAACCCATTGTTGGGTTTCTGCCACCAAATTGGTAGTTTTAACAAAATTTTGCAGTTTTTTGTTATCTTGAATATTATTATAGATAGATATAAACTGTAAGCTGCAATAATGTTCAGCAAAGTAAGATCTACAAAAAAGTAAATATGACCAAAATTGTCAATTGACCGTTTAAGGAGTTATTGCCCTTTAAAGACAATTTTACACAATTTGTTCATCAAGTTTGCTAACATTTAAAAATATTCTCCTCTGAAATACAGGTGAGCGATTCAGGCTCTTAAGAGCCTCTTGTTAAGAATTTGGCTTTGAATATTATTGCATTATATTGTAGCCATGCAGAATTACAATGGTACAAGATAAAAAATATGCTTTGTACAACAGTTGCAGGGGATATAATGTTATAACTAGCTTTCCATCCCTCTGTCAATACTGTGTTGTTGTATTGATGAAATTTTCATTTCTTGTTCAGATATTTTTACAAAACCTTTGACAAGTTACAGTAATTGGATTACCAGAAAAATTAGAATGGAAGTACAGATTTTGGGGAGGGGACTTGTCCAAGTATTATATATTATTAGCTCACCTGCTTAAATGCTGTTTAATATTTATCTTTTATGTACTTTTGCAACTTTCATAAATTTATTATTCATATAATGTTAATTTAGGAGAAATTTCTGACAGCCAAAATGACGAATATCACTTTAAATACTGTTGTATATTAGACAAGCTTCTACGTTTAACATTAAGCTACATCTATTTGTATGTTAAAAGATGTATCATGGAAGGATATGTGTTAAAGAAATCAATATCAATTGTCTGTATTTCAGATAAAGTTATCTTTATTTTTACTAAAAACTGCAAAAACCTGTGTTTCTCAAGCAATTTTAAAGGAAAAAAACTATTATTTTTATGAATTTTTCTAAGTCTAAGGTCAATAATTTGTTCAATTGATCAATTGAATGAAAGTCACATACAATATGTAAATTTTCACATCAGATTTACATAATGAAAATTAGCTTTGAGGGGAAAACTACAATTTTTATGTTATCTTCTGTTCATTATAAACAGCAGCCAGTTGGTTGGTTAGTAGCAATTTTGTTTCTAGACATCTTAGGATGATTTTGGTCAAGATTCCTTACAAAGTGTTGATTGCAAAGTGTCAGTTATTAAGATTTTTAATCACATTTCATTGTTTGTTTATAACATTCATCCTGTATTTATTGTGTATTTAGAGTATTACTCAGTTGATTTTCTTTTTCTACAGAGTGTGAATCACAAGGATGTTGACGTAGAAGTTGAAGGTCATGCCGTTCATGATAAACATGAAGATGAAGTAGAGGTAACTTATGTTGTTATCAAGCAAGTGTCAACCAATTTTCTAATCAAAATGACAAAAGGAGAAGTCTTAAGATCTGGTTATAATGTTTTTTTTGTGGCCAGCAAATGTTTGCTATTGGTAAAAAAACCCACATAAACAAATCTAAATGTTTTAAAATGAATCAATCAAAGATTACAGAATTTAGAACTCAGAGTGCTTTTTATACGACCGCAAAAATTTTTGCGGTCATATATTGGTATGACGTTGGCGTCGTTCGAAGACACATTGGTTTTCGCACTCTAACTTTAGTTAAAGTGAATGGATCTCTATGAAATTTTACCATAAGGTTCAATACCACAAAAGGAAGGTTGGGATTGATTTAAGGGGTTATGGTACCAACAGTTAAGGAATTAGGGGCCAAAAAGGGGCCAAAAATAAGCATTTTTCTAGTTTCCAGACAATAACTTGTGTTCAAGTGTATGGATCTCTCTGAAATTGTACCACAAGGTTCCATATCACACAGGGAATGCTGGGATTGATTTTGGGGGTAATTGCCTCAAAATTTTAGGAATTAGGGGCCAAAAAAGGGGCAAAAAACAAGCATTTTTCTAGTTTCATGACAATAACTTGTGTGTAAGTGTTTGGATATTTCTGAAATTGTACTACAAGGTTCCATATCACAAAGGGAAAGCTGGAATTGAGTTTGGGGGTAATTGCCCTAAACGTTTAGGAATTGGGGGCCAAAAAGGGGCCAAAAACACATTTTTCTAGTTTCCAGACAATAACTTGTGTTCAAGTGTATGGATCTCTCTGAAATTGTACTGCAAGGTACCATACCACAAAGGGAAGGCTGGGATTAAGTTTGGGGATGATGAATCATAAGGGGGTTCAAAAAATTTGGGGGGGGGGGGTTTCCATTTTTTTCTTTTTTTCCTTTTTTTTTTTCTTTTAAAATTTTCCATTTTAAGTTGGTTATTTCTGATTTATATTTAAAAGCAAATAATAATGATATGGTAGGAGATACACACCAAACAGGATGTGTAAATTATTATATAATAAGTATTGTGCTATAGCAAGAAATTTTCAATTGCACAGTATTGCACAATAGCAAAAATCTTCAATTGCACAGTATTGCGCAATAGCAAGAAATCTTCAATTGCACCTTATTGCGCAAGAGCAAGAAATATCCAATAGCACAATATTGCGCAATAGCAAGAAATTGTCAATTGTGCAGTATTGCGCAATAGCAAGAAATATTCAATTGCACAGTATTGTGCAAAAGAAGATACTTCGTATAAATTGCTTATTTCTTGACCAATTTCAATGGGGTTTTATTCTTGAATTCTTGGGGTTCTTTAATATGCTGAATCTAACCGTGTATTAAGTTTTTGGATTTTGGGCCCCGTTTTTAAATTGGTCCACATTGAGGTCCAAAGGGTCCAAAATTAAACTTTGTTTGATTTCATCAAAAATTGAATTATTGGGGTTCTTTGATATGCCGAATCTAACCATGTATTTAGATTCTTAATTTTTGGTTCCGTTTTCAAATTGGTCTACATTAAGGTCCAAAGGGTCCAAAATTAAACTAAGTTTGATTTTAACAAAAATTGAATTCTTAGGGTTCTTTGATATGCTGAATCTAAACATGTATTTAGATTTTTGATTATGGGCCCAGTTTTTTAAGTTAGTCCAAATCGGGGTCCAAAATTAAACTTTGTTTGATTTGAACAAAAATTGAATATATGGGGTTCTTTGATATGCTGAATCTAACCATGTATTTAGATTTTTGATTTTAGGGCCCCGTTATCAACTTTGTCCACATTGAGGTCAAAAGGGTCCAAAATTAAACTTTGTTTGATTTCATCAAAAATTGAATTCTTGGGGTTCTTTGATATGCTGAATCTAACCATGTATTTAGATTTTGGATATTGGACCATAATAGGTGAATGTCCAATTTAAAATTTTTAAGTTCTTAGACCACATTCATTCTGTGTCAGAAACCTATGCTGTGTCAAATATTTAATCACAATCCAAATTCAGAGCTGTATCAAGCTTGAGTGTTGTGTCCATACTTGCCCCAACTGTTCAGGGTTCGACCTCTGCGGTCGTATCAAGCTGCGCCCTGCGGAGCATTTTATTTAATATTTTGATATTTTGACTATTTTACTCCGAAATTTGTGTCAGGAAAGATATAGACTGTATACTAGATATATTCATACATTTTTGTGTAGGTGCAGATTTTTTGCTCTTTAAAAATCATGAAAAATTCACAAATTAAAATTTTGATTTCACATGTCTTATTAAACTAATTGAACTTTTGCAATATTTTGAATGTGAAATGATTTTTTGTTACAGTTTGAGTTTGGTGAAGTGTTTATACATCAAGCTATCCACACTATAGAGTTTTGTCTAGGATGTATTTCTCATACTGCCTCATATCTTCGACTTTGGGCTCTTAGTTTAGCTCATGCACGTAAGTATCAACTTTCTATTCTATGTATTAAAGTTAAACTGCCTCTGTGGTCCAGTAGTTACATGCTCAACTCAACAAGAAGAAGTTATGAATTGGATCCCCTGCTTGATAACACCAAAGACTTGGTACCAAAGACTTAGTATTTGCTATTCCTCTGTCAAGTACATGGCATTTAGAAGTAAAAAATGTATCAATGACTATAAAAATAAGGAGATGTGGTAAGATTGCCAATGAGACAACTATCCATCAGAGAACCAGAACTGTTCAGCTTAGATTTAGATGTTGCGTCTTGTAAGGGCGATTAGTCTTCATGTCAGCTGTTTTCTTGTGAGTTACTGCACTGAAAATCTGGCTCAGAGTGTCGTCTAGTACTGTACAAATCAGGAAAATTCTTTTTTAATTGGACATTGATCAGCCATCAATCAATTAAGTGTATGTAACATGTTAAACTTTCATATGTCTCCTGGTGAACACGATGTCATATATCTTAGGTATACTGGTAGATTTTTAATCATTTGAAACTAAATGAAGAAAAGCAAATTAGCTTATCACACTGTATTCCTAATTTTTGTAGAACTCTTACATTAGTCTCACTATTTAAAAAATGAAATAGTTGATAGAGTTATTGTTTCCATGACAAAAACATTGTCAACCGAGGGGAAGTTAAGGAACAAACAAAAACAATACAGAGTTGTTTTTGGTTTATCAATCCTATAGCCATTTATTCTCTTTTTTTTTTGCAGAGTTGTCAGAAGTATTGTGGAACATGTTGCTACGTTTATCTTTAAAGATGGACATTCCTTATGGTGGGTCGGTTATCATATTCTTCATTTTTGGTGCCTTTGCCTGTATTACTGTGGCAGTATTACTTGTCATGGAAGGGTTGTCAGCCTTTCTGCATACCATACGTTTACATTGGTAAGTTTTTGGTCATGTATGGGTTGTCAGCCTTTCTGCATACCATACGTTTACATTGGTAAGTTTTTGGTCATGTATGGGTTGTCAGCCTTTCTGCATACCATACGTTTACATTGGTAAGTTTTTGGTCATGTATGGGTTGTCAGCCTTTCTACATACCATACGTTTACATTGGTAAGTTTTTGGTCATGTATGGGTTGCCTACATATCTCCATACCTTACTTTTACATGGGTAAGTTTTTACACACTCCAAACTCTGGATTATATGGTTTAATCTTTGTCTGTAGAGCCTTCCTACCTGAATACAACAGATGTTAGAATTTAGAGTATGTATGCCAGTAATATGCATTTTTCATGAGAGCCTGTTAAACAAGGTGAAAACAGAAGTGGATTTATGTAAAATATCTCTTTGAGATTACCGGTACTGGACTTCTAAAAAACAAAAGTGCACATGCTTAAATGTCTCCCCTGCTGATGATGATTGAATTTATTTTAAAAGTCATTTAGCTAAATGTTTGAGGCCTTGGTGGATGAGTTTTCTAAGTAGTTCAACTACTGTATCACTAGCCTGTCAACACTCAGGTTGTGAGTTTGAACCCCGCATGTGGCAGGTGTGCTGGACTCCAATCTTAACAAGGATTGTCAGTTTTTTTGCAAGGTTGGTGGTTCTTTCCAGGCACTCCGGCTTTCTCCAACTATAAAAACTAACTGCCACCTAATAGCCAATTGTGCTGAAAGTGGAGTTAAACACCAATCAATCAATAGAAACTTGACATTATCAATCATCAATGTAAAAGAGGTCAATTTCAGATAAACTTGGCTAGACAGACATGTGCACCATACAATCATTTCATTCTCCAAATATAGTTCACATATTACTTATAGTAATATATATTTTAGAAACAGACCTAACCACATAAAATTAACATTGACCAATGAACACTGAAAATGAGATCAAGGTTAGGTGATCCCTGCCAGCCAGACATGTACACATTACAATCTATCCATAAATGAAGTACAGTCGAACCTCCTTGTGTCAAACTCATTTGTGTTGAAAACTCGGATGAGTCGAAGTAATTTCTCGGTCCCCATAAAATTCCTGTTTGATCAATGCATAATTACCTCTGATGAGTCGAACTCAGTCGATTCGAATACTCAGTTAAGTAAAGTAAATTTTATAGTCCCGTCATTGTAAAACGTAAGAAAATTGACCCCGATGTCTCGAAGTTCGAAAGTAAGAATATTCGAAAGATGCAGACCTAATGATAATTTTCAAATTGGAGGTATTTCTTATGTAACCTAATCACTTTCAAAAGAGATTAAAGCTGAGTAAACATACTTGTTTGTATAACAGTTAAATGACATGTTTATGGTGACCGGTAATTAACACCTTTGTTGATCGTCCAAGCGGAACATTAGTGTGTTTAACATATTTCACCTGACATAAAAATGAAATGAATTTAAATGACCCAAGCCGAGATTAAATGAATCGTTAGAATTAAAATTCATTTATTACAATAAATAAAAGGATTAAGACAATAATGATAAATTGATAATAATCTGAATTAAATGTAAAGCAGACGACCTTGTCAGAAACCATTCAGAACTTGTTTCATTCCACGAGTGATTTCATAATTTATAGTGACTGACCTATGTAAATATTTGTGTATGCTATTGATTTTATCTGTGCATGATTTGTATCTGTTTTTGTGTGTTAAGTTATTATGAAGGACCAAAAAATATGGAGATTGGATACACAATTATAAAATGTCATATCGAAAAAAGGCACACTGTTCAAAGTATCTAGTTTACACAAATCTCATACTGTATTTCATGCATTCCAAATTATGACAACACACTCGACCTCGGATGAGTCAAACCTCAAATAAGTTGAATACTTTGGTTCGGTCCCTTCGACTTCGACATAACGAGGTTTGACTGTATACTGTAAATTTAGAAATTATTGCGTGCATTTATTATTACGATTTTTGAAGAATTGACATAAATAGATATTTGTATCAGATATCAGAATGCTTTAATATTATTGCGATACTCTACCAGTCGCATTTTGCATTAGTTAAAACCTTGCAATATTTTCTGAGTAGTTGGAACAATTGCTTATAGTTGCAAATAATGGACAAAACCACGAAAACTATACATTGACCAATGAACTATGGAAAAGTGGTCAAGGTCAGATGAAACCTGCCAGACAGACAATTATACCACATCTTCTTTTTTTTTAAATGGTCACCTTACCACATCTCTTTATTTTTATTTCATTTCATACACAAAATAAAGTTGACCTGTTGCTTATAGTATCTGAGAAACAGACCAAACCATAAAATCTTAACATTTGACCAGTAAACCATGAAAAGGAGGTGAAGGTCAAATTAACCCTGTTAGACAGACATGTACACCTTACAATCATTTCATACACAAAATATAGATGTCCTTTTGCTAAATATATCTGAGAAACAGACCAAACAACAATAATATAACATTAACCAAAGAACCATGAAAATGAGGCCAGGGTTTGTCAGATGGACATATATACATATATTTGATCTATTGCTAAAAATAAGTGAGAAATTCACAGTTAAAATAAAATAAACATTTGGTTTATAGAATTCTTTAAGGTGTGCAAGTCCAACTTTGACAATGTACATGAAGTTTCCATGATTTGGTCATTTTCTCACTTACTATGAGTAACATCTTCACTAGCCAAGGATTAGGATCCAGTCCCCTCCTCTTGGATCGTGATCCTTGGCTAACAAAGATGTATGAGTAATAGATCAGTGCTATTTCTGTCTATAGAATCATTGTAAGGGGTACATATGTATATCTGACAGGTATTAGCTGACCATGATCTCATTTTGTGGTTTTGATAGTGACATATGCATAAAGAATGTGCATTTAGGTTAGAATCTCAATTACTACAGAAATAGTTGGTCTATTTTAAAATTGTTGTAATGTTGTGCATGTCTCTGAAAAAGATCACCTGACTTTGACCTCATTTTTATGGTTCATTGATTAACGCTTAGTTTTCATAATATAAATGTAGTAAGACCTTACCTCAATGGCTGTGATTATTTGCAGTTACTGTACTAGAAGCAACAAGGTTTTCATTGAGGATTATTTTTTACTAATGGGCAAGATTTTGTTTTCATTTGCATATATTCATATTACCGTCATATATTCATATTACCGTTAACTCAGGTAAAATATATAGATAATTTATGATATAAAATATGTTGAAAATTTTAACTTTAATAATTTTATTGAAAATAAGTGTACCCTATCTTAAAATATATTTTTGAGTACATTGGCATATTAAGAAAAAATATTAACTGGTTAATTTTTTTTTAACAAAATATCATTTTAGAACATCTATGCCATGTGTTGCATGAACAAATGTTTACATTTCATTTGAGCTCTTACTATTTTTTTTTCAGGGTTGAATTTAACAGTAAGTTTTATAGCGGTCAAGGATATGGTTTCATTCCGTTCAGCTTCAAATCACTGATGGAACCAACACTGGATGATTAGTGCTGCCAGGCTTATATACATAACTATATATATCTACTTATAAATGGACATTAATACAAAGGAATTTTAGAAAAAAGGAAATGTTACACTATGTCATTTGTCTTCCAGATGTATTTTTAGATGTATTTACCAGAGTATCTTGAAAAAATAGTGTATTTATATGTACAAAATTAAATATACAGGATAATGAACAAAAATTTACCTGCTTACAAAAATTAGATTCATTTTGTTGATAGAATTTACTTGTTTTTATAAGTTTAAATACCAGGGTACATGAATAATAAGGGTTCATATTTTCATTGCTTTCGCATTAGAAAAGGTTTAGTTAAAAACTAGAAATATGATATATAGTAATATTTTCCTAACCAAGAGATTTTTACAGCTTTTATAAATTTTGACTGAGTTGGGCTACTTCAAAAAACAGTCCTGTAAAAAAATGAAAGGAGGTGTTTAAAAAAATTTAGAAATTTATGCAGAAAAAAGTTTAAAAATTAAATGATTAATGTTTTTTTTATCTCATTTCTTTCAGTTGCTTTAAATTTATCTATTGGCATGCAGATTTGGAAAAGCAAATGTAAAAACAAATTATAATTGAACAATATTTTAAAGAATTATATTGTAGACTTAATATTCCTAGTTCATTGGTTTCTCTAATCTCTAATAAAATAATTCATTAGCTAGCTTTGTTTAGTTATATTCTCTTTCCAAATGAGATTTCTTTTATTGTAAGTTCAAAGCAGTTTAAACACAGAGTATACATGTACTATACTCTGTGTTTAAACACAGAGTATAGTTCAGTGGTTGTCGTTGGTTCATGTCTGTCATATTTGTTTTTTCGTAAATTATTTATTTTAAATTAGGCCGTAAGTTTTCTCAATTAAACTGTTTCATATTTTTCATGTCGGGGCCTATTCTTTAGCCGACTATACATCCACTTCATTTGAACTTAGGTGGATAGTTGTCTCATTGGCAATCATACCACATCTCCTTATTTTTTATATGGTATACAAAATTGGATTATGTTATAAAGGCACACTTTTTTGTCCATTGCTTACTACATCTGTCAGGCCACCAGCAGACAATAGTTCAAGTTTGTTGTTCATAGATTTTCAAAAGTTTTATCAACAGCATTGCCGGTAGGGAAATTAAGGTCACTCTAAATTTTGAAGATTTTTGGTTGTGTTATTGTAGATCTTAATTAGTAAAATATGGAACAATGGGGGAAAAAACTTCCGAACTTATTCTAGATGGTTATGAAGAAGCTTCCATTAAAGTTTCATTATGGTTAGAAAAAAAGTTTATTGATGTTTTAAAAACTTTTAATTGTAGAATGTATCTAAATAATAACACTAAAGAAACTAAGTCCATTTTTCAGCAAAATATAGAACAAGGAATGAGCTGTCAAATTGACAGCAAACTGGGTTTCTTTAGTTTGAAAGGTGCTTTCAGGCTTTTTTGACCTGTCTATTTTCCAAACTATCAAGGACCTTAACTCCTGAATGGTTAAAAAAAAATTGTTTATATCAAATTTGACCTTCATTTTGTTATCAGTAACAGCATATTAAAATTTTAAGAGCATTGGTTGAACAGTTTCATAAGTAATAGCACAACGGAAACGACAAAGTGCCATTTTTCAATCTATCAAGAACCATAACTCCTGGACAGAAAACGTGAAAATAGTCAATATCGAACTTCACCTCCATTTTCACTCCTAGACCAAATTTAACCAAACTTGGCCACAATCATCATTGGGGTATCTAGTTTAAAAAATGTGCCTGATGACCCAGCCTGCCAACCATGGCTAAAAATAGTTCAGGGGTAAAATGCAAGTTTTGTCTATTTTTTTTAAAACCAATATAAATATAGAAAATCTGACATGGGCAAAAATGTTCAGAATGTTGAGCTCTACCAATTGTTCATTGACGTCAAAACTGTCAGGCGACTTCTTATAGGAGTTATTGCCCTTAAATGACAAATTTTACCATTTTTTTTTCATTTTTAGCTCACCAGGGCCCGAAGGGCCCTATGTGAGCTTATGCCATCACTTGGCGTCCGTCGTCTGTCTTCGGCATCTGTCGTCGTAAACTATTTCAAAAATCTTCTCCTCTGAAACTACTGGGCCAAATACCTTCAAACTTAAATAAATGTTCCTCAGGAATCTAGTTTATAAATTGTATCCGAAGTTTTGATCCATCGACAAACATGGCCGCCATGGCTAAAAATAGAACATAGGGGTCAAATGCAGTTTTTGGCTTATATCTCAAAAACTAAAGCTTTTAGAGCAAATCTGACATGGGGTAAAATTGTTCAATTGGTCAAGATCTATCAGCTCTGAAATTTTCAGACGAATCGAACAACCCATTGTTGGGTTGCTGCCACCGAATTGGTAGTTTTAAAAAAATTTGGCAGTTTTTATACGACCGCAAAAAATTTTTGCGGTCGTATATTGGTATGACGTTGGCGTCGTCGTCCGGCGGCGTCGTCGTCAGAAGACACATTGGTTTTCGCACTCTAACTTTAGTTTAAGTGAATGAATCTCTTTGAAATTTTACCATAAGGTTCAATACCACAAAAGGAAGGTGGGGATTGATTTTGGGGGTTATGGTACCAACAGTTAAGGAATTAGGGGCCAAAAAGGGGCCAAATATAAGCATTTTCTAGTTTCCAGACAATAACTGTGGTATGGTGTATGGATCTCTCTGAAATTATACTACAAGTTTCCATACCACAAAGGGATGGTTAGGATTTGCTTTGGGGGGTTATTGCTCAAACCGTTTAGGAATTAGGGGCAAAAAAGGGGGAAAAACAAGGTTGTCTTGGTTAATGGACAAATACTTTAGTACAAAACATAATTTAAAGCAGTGTAAGGGAGATAAATCAAATACATCATTGAAATTACTTCCCTTACACTGCTTTTAAATTATGTATAAAGTAATGGTTAATGAACAATTAAGATAATTTAAAACAGTGTAAGGAAGGTAATCTAAATATAACGTTTTGGTTACTTCCCTTACACTGTTTTTAAATTATGTTTAAAGAAATGCATATTTATAAAGGAAGAGCAGTAAAAATATCTACAAATGTTGCATCTTTTTTTTTTACCTAAAAATCCATATGAAAGATTTGACACTATATTTTAAATTCTATTATAAAATAGATTAAGTTAGCACTATGGTAAATTTAAATGGGTAATTATGATTGCAAACTCCATTGGAAATTTGAATTGAGATTATGACCATATCTTGAGGGAAAGAATTTTTTTGGGGGAAAAAAAGGGGGGGGGGGGGTAAAAAGAAATTGTGGGGGGTCAATTTTTTCTCATTTCAGATTTCAGAAATTAAAAAGAATTATTCTTCAAATATTATTTTTTTTTCAAATTTCAAATATTGAAAAATTTCAAGAAGTAATCTTTAATTGCACAAAAAAATTTTGCGGTCGTATATTGGTATGACGTTGTCATCGTCGTCCTGCGTCGTCCGAAGACACATTGGTTTTCGCACTCTAACTTTAGTTTAAGTGAATGGATCTCTATGAAATTTTACCATAAGGTTCAATACCACAAAAGGAAGGTTGGGATTGATTTTGGGGGTTATGGTACCAACAGTTAAGGAATTAGGGGCCAAAAATAAGCATTTTTGTAACTTCCAGACATAACTTGTGTGTTAGTGTATGGATCTCTCTTACATTGTACCACAAGGTTCCATATCACACAGGGAATGCTGGGATTGATTTTGGGGGTAATTGCCTCAAAATATTAGGAATTAGGGGCCAAAAAAGGGGCAAAAAACAAGCATTTTTCTAGTTTCATGACAATAACTTGTGTGTAAGTGTATGGATCTTTCTGAAATTGTACTACAAGGTTCCATATCACAAAGGGAAAGCTGGAATTGAGTGGGGGGGGGGGGGGGGGGGGGGGGGGGGGGGGGGGTAATTGCCCAAAAAGTTTAGGAATAAGGGGCCAAAAAGGGGCCAAAAATAAACATTTTTCTAGTTTCCAGACAATAACTTGTGTTCAAGTGTATGGATCTCTCTGAAATTGTACCACAAGGTTCCATATCACACAGGGAATGCTGGGATTGATTTTGGGGGTAATTGCCTCAAAATATTAGGAATTAGGGGCAAAAAAAGGGGCAAAAAACAAGCATTTTTCTAGTTTCATGATAATAACTTGTGTGTAAGTGTATGGATCTTTCTGAAATTGTACTACAAGGTTCCATATCACAAAGGGAAAGTTGGGTTTGAGTTTGGGGGTAATTGCCCGAAACATTTAGGAATAAGGGGCCAAAAAGGGGCCAAAAATAAGCATTTTTCTAGTTTCCAGACAATAACTTGTGTTCAAGTGTATGGATCTCTCTGAAATTGTACTGCAAGGTACCATACCACAAAGGGAAGGCTGGGATTGAGTTTGGGGGTGATGAATCATAAGGGGGTTCAAAAAATTTGGGGGGGGGGGGATTTTTTTTTTTCCTTTTTTTTTTCTTTTAAAATTTTCCATTTTAAGTTGGTTATTTCTGTTTTATATTTAAAAGCAAATAATAATGATATGGTAGGAGATACACACCAAACAGGATGTGTAAATTGTTATATAATAAGTATTGTGCTGTAGCAAGAAATTTTCAATTGCACAGTATTGCACAATAGCAAGAAATCTTCAATTGCACAGTATTGCGCAATAGCAAGAAATCTTCAATTGCACAGTATTGTGCAATAGCAAGAAATATCCAATAGCACAATATTGCGCAATAGCAAGAAATTGTCAATTGTATAGTATTGCACAATTGCAAGAAATATTCAATTGCACAGTATTGTGCAAAAGAAGATACTTCGTATAAATTGCTTATTTCTTGACCAATTTCAATGGGGTTTTATTCTTGAATTCTTGGGGTTCTTTAATATGCTGATTCTAACCGTGTATTAAGTTTTTGGATTTTGGGCCCCGTTTTTAAATTGGTCCACATTGAGGTCCAAAGGGTCCAAAATTAAACTTTGTTTGATTTCATCAAAAATTGAATTATTGGGGTTCTTTGATATGCCGAATCTAACTGTGTATTTAGATTCTTAATTTTTGGTTCCGTTTTCAAATTGGTCTACATTAAGGTCCAAAGGGTCCAAAATTAAACTTAGTTTGATTTTAACAAAAATTGAATTCTTAGGGTTCTTTGATATGCTGAATCTAAACATGTATTTAGATTTTTGATTATGGGCCCAGTTTTCAAGTTGGTCCAAATCGGGGTCCAAAATTAAACTTTGTTTGATTTCAACAAAAATTGAATATATGGGGTTCTTTGATATGCTGAATCTAACCATGTATTTAGATTTTTGATTTTTGGGCCCCATTATCAACTTTGTCCACATTGAGGTCAAAAGGGTCCAAAATTAAACTCTGTTTGATTTCATCAAAAATTGAATTCTTGGGGTTCTTTGATTTGCTGAATCTAACCATGTATTTAGATTTTGGATATTGGACCATAATAGGTGAATGTCCAATTTAAAATTTTTAAGTTCTTAGACCACATTCATTCTGTGTCAGAAACCTATGCTGTGTCAAATATTTAATCACAATCCAAATTCAGAGCTGTATCAAGCTTGAATGTTGTGTCCATACTTGCCCCAACTGTTCAGGGTTCGACCTCTGCGGTCGTATCAAGCTGCGCCCTGCGGAGCATTTTATTTAAATTGGTCTACATTAAGGTCCAAAGGATCCAAAATTAAACTTTGTTTGATTTTAACAAAAATTGAATATATGGGATTCTTTGATATGCTGAATCTAAACATGTATTTAGATTTTTGATTTTTGGCCCAGTTTTCAAGTTGGTCCTAATTGGGGTCCAAAATTAAACTTTGTTTGATTTCAACAAAAATTGAATATATGGGGTTCTTTGATATGCTGAATCTAAACATGTATTAAGATTTTAGATTTTTGGCCCCGTTTTCAAGTTGGTCCAAATTGGGGTCCAAAATTAAACTTTGTTTGATTTCAACAAAAATTGAATATATGGGGTTCTTTGATATGCTGAATCTAAACATGTATTAAGATTTTAGATTTTTGGCCCAGTTTTCAAGTTGGTCCAAATTGGGGTCCAAAATTAAACTTTGTTTGATTTCAACAAAAATTGAATATATGGGGTTCTTTGATATGCTGAATCTAACCATGTATTTAGATTTTTTATTTGTGGGCCCTGCTATCAAATTGGTTCATATTGAGGTCAAAAGGGTCCAAAATTAAACTTTGTTTGATTTCATCAAAAATTGAATTATTGGGGTTCTTTGATATTCCAAATCTAACCGTGTATTTAGATTTTTTATTTTGGGTCCCCTTTTTTTAATTGGTCTACATTAAGGTCCAAAGGGTCCAAAATTAAACTTAGTTTGATTTTAACAAAAATTGATTCTTGGGGTTCTTTGATATGCTGAATCTAAACATGTGTTTAGATATTTGATTATGGGCCCAGTTTTCAAGTTTGTCCAATTTGGGGTCCAAAATTAAACTTTGTTTGATTTCAACAAATGAATATATGGGGTTCTTTGATATGCTGAATCTAACCATGTATTTTGATTTTGGACATTGGACCATAATAGGTAAATTTAAAAAAATTCAAGTTCTTAGACCACATTCTTTCTGTGTCAGAAACCTATGCTGTGTCAAATATTTAATCACAATCCAAATTCAGAGCTGTATCAAGCTTGAATGTTGTGTCCATACTTGCCCCAACTGTTCAGGGTTCGACCTCTGCGGTCGTATTAAGCTGCGCCCAGCGAAGCATTTTATTTTGAATATTATTATAGATATATATAAACTGTAAGCAGCAATAATGTTCAGCAAAGTAAGATCTACGAAAAAGTTAATATGACCATAATTGTCAATTGACCCCTTAAGGAGTTATTGCCCTTTAAAGACAATTTTACACAATTTATTCATCAAGTTCGCTAACATTTAAAAATCTTCTCCTCTGAAACTACGGGGCCAATTACCTTCAAACTTTAATTAAATGTTCCTTAGGGTATCTTGTTTATAAATTGTATCCGAAGTTTGTATCCATCGACAAACATGGCCGCCATGGCTAAAAATAGAACATAAGGGTCAAATGCAGTTTTTGGCTTATATCTCAAAAACTAAAATCTTTTAGAGCAAATGTGACATGGGGTAAAATTGTTTAATTGGTCAAGATCTATCGGCCCTGAAATTTTCAGACGGTAGTTTTAACAAAATTTTGCAGTTTTTTGTTATTATTTTGAATATTATTATAGATTTAAATTCTAATTCGTAAACTCAAACGAACATAAAATATTTATCAAATAACCACAAACTCTTACATGGGAGACGCCACTTGCAGAGACAAGCGCACATTTTATTATAAATATGAGTATAATATTGTGGCAAGTTCATATAATACACAGGTATTAAGCAGCTTGTACATGTACTGGTTTCCCCATACCAGTGGTCTACAAATCTGAAAATAAATAATATAATTAATAATATTATTTATTTGGCAAAATGCTACTGTACACTTTGACTGCAATGGCTCGAATGACTTTAAACCACCTGAGTTCACTCGTGCATGAACTCAATATCCCAATCGAACCGACCTTACTATAATTAACCAAACACTAGTCAACTATAAACAAACAACATTTTTACATGTTCGATTTTTGTACAACTTTGATAAATACATTTAAATTCTAATTCGTAAACTCAAACGAACATAAAATATTTATCAAATAACCACAAACTCTTACATGGGAGACGCCACTTGCAGAGACAAGTGAGCTCGAAACACAAAGAATGGGAAAATAGCATTGAATATTTATTTGAATTCCTAAATTTTGATAAACTGATAACTGTGCTTTAAAGTCTTCTCTAACGTAACCATCCTTTCCTCTGTCCCATTTTAACCTGTTATGATTCAGAAAAATCCTATCAGAAATACAGGCGTTAGCACTGGCTCTTGTATATGAGAGACGTCTGGAATCATTTCGAAACCTATGAACATTGGACTTCTCAGTGAATGTTATTTTAACTAAAAATTTTAATCAAGGTGTATGTCAGCATCTTTAATATAGTTATTTAAAGAAGTTTTTTTTTTTTTTTTTTTTTTAATAATATACCAATATGCATGTCTGAAGTTCAGCCTAATAGCTTCAATAGCAATCAGTATTGTCTAAATATTCGCCCAAGTGACTTTAATAATAATATGCTAAGTTACTTTAATAATAAACAGCTCAGTGGCTTCATCAACAACCACCTGCCTGTTTTCTATAATAACAAACCTGTCCAGTGTTTTCAACAACAACCAGCACAGTGTCTTCAATAACAACCTACCCAGTGTCTTCAACAACAACCAGCCAAGCGCCATTAATAACAACATGCCAAGTGTTTTCAACGACAACCAGCCCAGTGTTTTTAATAACAAACCTACCCAGTGGCTTATACAAAAACAGGCCCAGTGTCTTCAACAACAACCAGCCCAGAATTTTCAACAACCAGCTCAGTGTCTTCAATAACAACAAGTCCAGTGTCTTCAATAACAACCTGCCCAATGTCTTCAACAACAACCAGCACAGTGTCTTAAATAACAACATGCCTAGAGGGTTCAACAACAACCTACCGAGTGTCTTCAACAACGACCTGCCCATTCTTTCAAACAATAACATGCCCAGTGTCTTTAACAACAACCTGCCCAGTGTCTTGAATAACTACCAGCCAAGTGTCTGCAATAACAACCTGCTCAGTGGCTTCATTAAGAAACAGTCAAGTCACTGCAAGTGTCTTCAACATCTACTAGCCCAGTGTCCTCAACACCCAGCTCAGTGTCTTCAACAACAACCAGCCCAGAGTCTTTAATAACTACAAGCCCAGTATCTTCAAAAAACAACGTGCCCAGTTGCGCCAATAACAACATGCCAAGTGGCGTCAATAACAACATGCCCAGTGGCGTCAATAACTGTAACTATCAGCCCAGTGGCTTAATTAATTACGACATGCCAAGTGGCTTCAATAACAACCAGTCGTGTTTTTCACAACATACTTTTCACTGGTGTCAATAACAAGCTGCTCAGTGTCTTCACTTCAGTGTCTTCACTAACAACGTGCCCAGTGGCTTTACAAATAACCTGCCATGTGGCTTCAATACCAACCTGCCAAGTGGCATTAATAACATGCCCAGTGGCTTAAAAAACTATTAGCCTATAACTTTAATTACGCATGTCAAGTGGCTTCAATAACATCCTGCCCATTGGCATTAATAAAAAACTGCCCAATTGCGTCAATAATAAAATACCCACCCAGTGTGGTATAACAACACGCCCAACTATCAGCCCAGTGGCTTTAATTACAACTGGCCCAGTGTCTTCAATAACACACCCAGTGGCTTCAACAACCTGCCTGTCCATTGGCGGCAATAACAACCAGCCAAGTGTCTTCAACAATAAACTGCCCAATGCTTTACAAGCAACCTGCCCAATGGCTTCAATGGCAACACGCCCAGTTGCGTCTATAACAACCTGCCTGGTGGCGTCAATAACAACATGCTCAGTGGCTTAACAAACAACCTGCCAAGTGGCTTCAATAACAACACGCCCAGTGGCTTCAATACACAACACGCCCAGTGGCTTCAATAACAACACGCACAGTGGAGTCTATAACAACCTGCCCAGTGACGTCTATAACAATCTGCCCAGTGGCTTCAATAACAACACTCACAGTGGCGTCTATAACAACCTGCCCAGTGACGTCTATAACAATCTGCCCAGTGGCGTCAATAACAATCTGCCAAGTGGCTTTACAAATAAACACGTCCAGTGGCTTCAATAACAACACGCCCAGTGGCTTCAATAACAACACGCCCAATGGCGTCTATAACAACCTGCCCAGTTGCTTCAATAAACAACACGCTCAGTGGCGTCAATAACAACCTGCCCAGCGGCTTCAATAACAACACGCACAGTGGCGTCTATAACAACCTGCCCAGTGACGTCTATGATGTGCCCAGTGGCGTCAATAACAACACGCCAAGTGGCGTCTGTAACAACCTGCCCAGTGGCGTCAATAATAACATGCCCAGTGCCCTACAAACAACCTGCCAAGTGGATTCAGTAACAACACGCCCAGTGGCTTCAATAACAACACGCCCAATGGCGTCTATAACATCCTGCCTAGTGGCATCAGTAACAACCTGCCCAGTGGCGTCTATAACAACCTGCCCAGTGGCGTCAATAACAACCTGCCCAGTGGCTTTACAAACAAACACGCCCAGTGGCGTCAAAACCAACAACACACCCAGTGGCGTCTGTAACAACATGCCCAGTGGCTTAATATAACTACCAGCCTATGGCTTGAATTACGACATGCCCATTGGCTTCAACAGCATCCTGCCCATTGGCATTTATAATAATCTACCCAGTGGTGTCAATAACAACATGCCCAGTGGCGTCAATAACATCATGCCCAGTGGCTTAATTAACTATCAGCCCAGTGGCTTAAATTACAACTTGCCCAGTGTCTTTAATAACAACACGCCCAGTGGCTTGAACAATCTGCTCAGTTGCGTCAACTATATAATATCAATATAGTGCCGTCATTACAGCATGTCCAGTGCCTTCAATAACAACCAGTCCAGTGGCATCAATAACAACCTGTCTAGTGTATTTAATGATAACAGACCAGAGGCTTAAATAACTATCAGTCCAGTGCCTTCAATTACAACATGCCAATTGGCATCAATGACAACCAGTCCAATGGCTTCAATAACAACCAGTCCAGTGACTTCAATAACAATAGTCAAGTGGCTTCAATAACAATCAGTACATATGCTTCAATAATAACCAGTCAACGGCTTCAATAAAATCAGCACAGTGGCTTCAATGACAACCAGTCACTTAGTATCAAGACAACCAGTCAGGAGCACGTGGTTTCAAAATTTTTACCAACACATTCAGTAAATTCAACAATCAATCAGCACAGTGATTAAGACAAATAGATACTCAAAAGAAGTAGAACCTAAAGAAATCTACTAGTATCATTCCCAGTGGTAAATTAAGCAACAATAATCAAAATGAAACTCTTGGTAACTGTATTATAGTTTAGCTACAGCTCATGATAACTATACATTATATAACCTGCGCATGTCAGAACTCTGAACAAGGATAAACAAAACCAAATACAAATTTTTTTATAGTCCAATTCCTTTCTCTGAATTAGCTTCTAAAACAAATTCAGCATTATTAAATATTTCTTGTTAAATATAACAGTATAACTGGCGGACCTGTGATAAACTAGATATAAGAACCATTATCAATCATGTCTAAAACAAATGAATGTGTATCATTATCTTTCAAATACTTATATATGTTCTTCTCATTTCCCCATACAGATCATGAAGAGGTATTCTTTTTCATAATCAAATGACATGTACTGAATTACAATCTAAATGTTCATTTTTATAATAAATTCTTAAATTCAATATGATGAAAAACAATACTTATCACCTTGATCTTTAAAACGCTCTTGTTCCTTGTGCTACTTGGTACGTCAAGGTCTGTGTTACAACAGACCTAATTTTCTTCCCATCCTCGGAATCCTAAGCAAGCTCGTCTGATAGGTATTCTTTGACTGTATCCCATTCTGCTAGTGACTTGTCAGCGATCTTAATACACTTGTCCCGCTTAAGAATTTTCTCCATAAGGTCATAGCTAATATTTACGACTTAGAATATTCATCACGATCGGCTGCACGTTTGATCTTGGATACCATATAATCAATTTCAGAATTAAATTCGTGCTGAACATGCTTACTGTAACTTAAACTTATAAGAAAGTCTTGATTTAAGCTGTTTATAAACAAGGTTTCTGATTTATTCGTCGCATCTTCCAGAAGTTCCATCTTTAGGCTATCAATTTTACTATTTAAATACTGTTTAAAATTGTTCAAGGTTATGTCTGCAATTTTGGTTACCATATCTTCATTGTTATGTCAGTATCATAATATCATAAAGGTGATTTTCTTCACGTTCAGAACTTGCCATATTACGAAAAGTACAAGTTGAAGATAAACTAATAAAATGCTACTGTACACTTTGACTGCAATGGCCCGAATGACTTTAAACCACCTGAGTTCACTCGTGCATGAACTCAATATCCCAATCGAACCGACCTTACTATAATTAACCAAACACTAGTCAACTATAAACAAAC